ACAGAGATTTAATCCCCTGGTTCCCATTACTGTGAGTAAGAGCTGTGAATCTAAATCCCCTTGCAGCTGACCCAAAATTTACCCCCTGCTGCCTCACAGTGCCAATTAAATAATAAAAACCAAAACCGTGGTCAGATGCAATTAGTTTGAGAACAGAATTTATAATTTTCCTCATGCCAAGCAAACAAGTTAACCCCTTTGGTGACATACACAGAATTATTTGGACAAAGAGAACACAAGTATTAAGTCTGAACATTTCTTGTGCTATTTGCCAGGAGGTTGTAATATTGAAAAACTGTGCTCTTCTGAGAATGGGAAAACGAAATAAACTCTAACTCCAAATTGCTGGAAATGCAGTTTATGTCATCAGGTTTTTTCCTCCCCCTCTTTCATTTAAAAAAAAAAAATGTCTTTCAAGACTTCAGTTGATCTAGGTTTCTTCTTAGGGTGTTACTTCTTAAAAATATGATTCTGGTAGGAACAGACTTCAGCTGTGTAGCAGGCAAAGCTGCAAAAGAGAAAGTTCTTGAAAGACTGCTGGGTGTGCCTTAGCCCAAACCAGCTCTGAACGAGTATCAAGCTCTGTGGTTCCTGAAGAAGCAAGGCCACGTGCCCCGGCCTGGCCGTCTTTGGGATGAAGCGTTCTCCAAGGTGACCAGAGCCAGGGTTCTTCTGCACACCTCTGCTTGGGTAACGAGGATGCAGCTGAACTGCCCACCAGGAAACAAACCCTTTCTACATTTTTTTCTCTAGATACATGTGAATTGTCTAAGATGGTACAGTGGGAAAAAGACAAGGGGTCTTTGAATGGAAAAATATGGGATGATTGTTGTTTTTGTTGCTGTTTCCACTTATTTAGGTCTGTTTGGGGAGGAGGGGAAGGAAAAGGGCGGGAGATAAGGCTAAAAATGAGGTTAACAAAAAACATAGGAGGATATATTATGTCAAGCAACCGGGCATAATATTTCTATCTTCTTTAGCTCAAAATTCCCTTATTTTACACAAAAATATTGCAAATATGATTCCAGCATGTTGGTTTGCGTTGGAAAAGCCTGGCACGTGACCTTCAAGAACATTGAGCAAAACAGTATCCCGGGGCCACTGGCTGAACAGAAATCCATGTAGCCCTCAAGATGAATTTCTCAAGCTTCCTATTCAGCCTTCTTGGGGATACTGGAGAGAGTGTGTGTGTGTATCAGGAAATGGGTAAGACAAGTAGTAAACTCTTGTTATAATGAAGATAAACATACTTTTTTCCCCATGAAAAATATCAGACTTAAATGATAATCTGTGGGAGCTACACTGAAAACATTCATGAAATAAAAACGTTGCTTCTAAAGAGACTATGAACTGGGAACTGGAATACTGACCCGAACATATTTTGATTCTAAAGTTTCCTTGTAAAAATATTCACAGAAATTGGTGGACATTTTTTCGGTACAACTCAATTTCTCTCATTTACAACATAAGTCATTTAATGTAACATTTGTGACCTTAGAAAGGCAGACATATTTAATCCAAGTCTGTTTATAAATTCCAATTTCACATGGATTAAAAACTGCAGATAAATTAAGTCACAATAATATCCTGTACATGCATTAAGGCTGGTGACTGCTAAAGTCTCTTGGGTATCTACAAACAGGAAATCACACGCAGATTACTGAGTCTGAAGAATGTCTACATCATTAAAAAAATCTTGCTTTTTTTTTTTTTGGTGATACAGATTTCAACAGTAACTCTGGAAAACTGTGAAAAATGTTATTTAAAAATATATATGTATATGCTACTGCACAGTTTCAAAGATGTGATTCATAAATAATGTTGGCTGCACTGATTAATTTTGTAACAATTACTGCACTTCCAAGGTGATGCGAACACGCAGTGATTTATACTCAATATTAGGCACTAGTAATATCCTTCAGGCGTACTACAGTTTTATGTTAGCTGTATTGTACATATATATTTTTAAATGTATGCATTTATACAAACTGTGTATATTATGTATGGGGTGTCGGAAATGTACACATCACTGTTATATAATACACACATCATTGTTGTACATATTAGGGTAAGTTTTAGTGCAGAAAGTCTTGTTGCATTGCATTCCATGTGTTCAATCTAGTACACAATTTGTCAACTCTTCAGATTATTTTTCCAGTACATTCCTTTTTAGATCGTGGGTCCAAGTTTCCATTTGCAATTTGAAAGTTTCCAGAAATGTCTGTTTCAACCAAACCTCTCTCTCCAGGTACAATTCTGCACATGAGTCTGATCTTTGTAGAGCAGTAACAAAGGCCAAATTTTGATCAGGAATACATCTGGGCTATCCTCTCTCAAAGATAATTTAACATTGTGATAAAGGATGGTACCCATTCAGGTCATGGAAGGATAAGGTCAGCTGAACTTGTGTTGAACTTTTGAGGAAAGAATGTCTTCAAATAGAAAGAAGTGGTAATAAAAATATTATGTTTAAATTCTAGAGTCTCTGGAAGGATATATATCAAACGGTAAGCGGTGGTTGTCTCAGGGGGATGGGACAATCAGGGACGTACACTTTCTACTTTCTACATTTCTGTATTTTTTGAATTTTTACAATGAGCAGGTATTACTTTCATAATCAGAGAACACAAGAAAGATATTTCAACTTGCAATGAAACTAAATAAAAGGAACAGTTATGAATGACTTTCACAGACAAGAATCAGAAGATGGTTCTTTACCAAAATCATCTGCACCAAACCCAACAGAGATTGCTGCCCTGACGTGCTTCACAGATGAAATGAGTGACAGTGGTAGGAAATGCATGCTCCGACCATCCCCCAGAATGACCAGTTTCAAGAAGTTTTATTGGGAAACATGGCTCATCAGAGTGCTGATGAAACGCTGCTGGTATAACCAGCCAGAAGCCACCTATTAGATGGGGCTTCCCAGGGAAGAACATCACACGGATGCCACGACAAAGCCTGCAACCTTAAAGATGGGCAAGACCAGAAAAGCTCCCTGGGGATGCAGAACAGGGCCTGAGGGTCATCCCCTTATGTGAGTGTTTGAATATTTCATCAGAACTCATTAAGAGTAAGTAGAAAAAACTCAGTCCTGCCAAAAAAAAAAAAAAAAAAAAAACTAACACAGGATGGGATCACGAACAATTAGTGAAAGAGACATATAAGAAGCACCTCAGTTGGATAAACGTAAAATGGAAATACTGTTAGTATTTCCAAATGCGTGAAGGCCAAAGCCAAACGCAAATTTCACAAGCCCTTCACTTGCTCATTTTCAATTAACTTCAAATCACCAAAGTTGTTCAGTCATTTGTACAGTTTTGAATCAGTGCTTAGAGCTGGGGAATTATAGCAATCTTATTTCCCACCTACAGATCAGGCTGACAAATATGTTAACACTGCAACCCAACCTATAAGAATATCAGTGAAAGCATCTGTCAGCATCTATTGTGAATATTCTATACCACCATTGCCTTGAAAAAATGGATTGCTCCACATATTGTATCACCTTTTTTGGACCATCCTGGTGCAATTTTGTCAAGTAAGAGGCCTTGAGGACATTATTTTTGTTTTTAAAATGTGGCAAGATATACCCCTTTTTTCAGGAGTTGTTTTCCTTTTACCAATATTTCATATCCAAATATTCATATATTTAAGAAAAAGACTAAATCTAGGGCATGATACAACACTATAAAAGAAATAAACTTCAGACAAAAACTGTAAACGAGATGTCAACAAACTAAAATGTAAACTTAATTAAAAAAAGAAAAGAAAAGAAAAATCACAAGCGAGATGTAAACATACCAGATGCACAAGACATAAGCAAGGTGCTCTGGCTGTTGCGACCCCACACAGAATGGTAATCACTGCAGGAGTAACTTCCCCTGCGTTGTAAGCAGCTTGCTAATCAAAGCCAGAGAAGAATCCCCCAGATCAAAATGCATCAAAGGGCTGCAGTGGCACATCCTGCATGAAGGGTGAAATAATCAGACAGCATCATATAATAATAGCTCTTAGCCTGATAAGTAACAGATACAGGCTCCTAGTGAAGGGACATTCTAGGTAATGTCCTCATTTGGCCAAGAAAACTTGTAAGCAAGCTATCATGGAAAGAAAAGACTTGAAACATATTGTCTGACAAATGACACGTGGCTCTATAGCCACCAAGTCACAGTGGCAGGAAGAAGAAATGCATGTGCCTGGTGGGCTTGTTGTCACAGGTGCAGAAAATTTCAAATCCTAACTGAGCTCCAAAACACAGTCATCACTGCTTTAATGTTTGTTAACTTTTCAAAGACATTGAACTTTTACCAAATCTCAATGCCATTTTCATACTATTTGTGGGTAGAGCAGGAAAGGCCTGGGGGAGTTGATCCATTTGCTTGCAATCATTGATAATAAAGTCAGATGAGGGGAGGGCATCAGAGGAAGGGCAGGGTATTTGGTAACATGCAATCTAGTAAACTTCTGGCACAAAAATAACTGACTTATTTTTGTTATTCAGTTACCCATTAATACATACCAATCAAAAAATAATTGGGGCCTATTAATTAATACTGAAAGTAATCAATAGTGTAAGAGCTGGGTTCCTCTTAACTGGCAGTCAAGCTTTTGGTGTGCTGTATTGCACCTGGTTAACTAACCCATGAGATTTTGGTTGAATTTTCTAAGAAGTCATAGTTTAGCATTAGAATAGAAACTGTGTGTCTGTGATTGTGTATGTGTATGTGTGTGTGTATATACATGTGTACTTCCTCTAATCAGGAACCTCCAATCACTTGGTCTAGCCTGGAGTTATGGAAACTAGACAAAGAGAATGTGTTCTGAAGAGCTGCATATCTTACACACACACACAGGCAGCTTCTTACACACCCACACATACAAACACACATGCCCTGGGAAAAGACTGCTGTTCAATGCTGAGGAAATGTTCACCGCAGTTTGATAAATGCTGTGGCTGGGAACCTCAGTAGCACAGTGTCCAGAAACATTGAGCCGTCTGGAGATGAGAGCACAGGCCGGCTCAAGGGCGAGGTCCCTATGACAGGTGGGTGCTGTTCCGCAGCCAGTGCAGGCCCTGCTGGGAGTACTGGACCAGGTGCTCCATGCTGCTGTGCAGGGTGACAGGCCCCATGAGCAGATCCAGGTCGTTGAAGAATTCTAGGGGACGGAGAGGGTTGTTAAGAATGCCATGCATGCTAGGTGTGCTACCCTGCGCAACCTGAGTGACTTAAGAAAAAGTTCCATTCATGGTCTCTATATAAATCAAGCACCTCTTGTATACTCCTGGATAGAGGTGGAACGCATTCTACTAAGTGAGGTATCCCAAGAATGGAAAGACAAGCACCACATGTACTCACCATCAAACTGGTATTAACTGATCAACACATAAATGCACATATAAGAATAACATCTGTTGGATGTTGGGCAGGGGGGAGGGAGGAGGGGACGGGTATTTGCATACACAAAGAGTGCAATGTGCACCACCTGAAGGATGGACATATTTGAAACTCGGACTTGGCAGGGGGGGGGCAAGGGCAACATACGTAACCTAAACATCTGTACCCCCATAATATGCTGAAATAAAAAAAAAAACAAAAACAAAACAAAAAACAAAACAAAAAATAAATCAAAGATTCTCTCTTCTAATGTGACTTTAGCATTCCCTTGAACAAGATAAAATCCAAGGGTGGGGAACTTGCCCTGTATCCAAATAAATAAATACACTATATTCATTTCTAATTCAAATGAATAGTATTTGCTTAGCCAAATAGCAAAGAAAATCCACATTCTCAGGCTGCACTCTCCCGGTGCATAAGGCTTCCCACTCTGTCAAGTTGGCTCTGTCGTCCTTCTCCTGCACTCAATTCTGGCATGGGCTGAGCCCTGGAGTGAATCCAAGGGGTGAGGGTCCAGGCTCCAAGGACAAATCAAAGATGGGTCCTGAGACATCTCTACTGAAGTCACCTTTAGCTTTTGGACCTTCTCTGGGTTCGCCCTTTCATCAAATGTTTATTATGTACCAAGACACTCTGCTAGGAGTAGGGTGCAGAGGTTGGGGAGGATACCAAGATGAATCATGAGTGGGCTCTGCTCTCTCAAAAAGATCACAGTTTAGTGGCTGATAGAGACAAATAAATTCATATAACTACTCTCCTATCATAGCTCATCACTGAATAACACTTCTTGGAAGTGTAAGTGTTTGGGAGAAGTTTTTCGAAGGTGCTCACATACATGCTGAATGAAGCCCTGCTGCGGATGGGAAGTGGAGGGCCATGGAAGACTCCAGGTTGCAGGTGGCTAGGAGGTTGGCCATGGCAGGAATCCAGGAGCAAAAAAGAGGAGGAGGAGTTGGTCGGGGTGGGGGAACAATGCTGGGTTTGCACTGGATACTTGGCACTGAGCCCTCAGGCAGGAGACACCCTGCAGGCAGCTGGCAGTGCTATCTGGAGCTTGGCCTGCTCAGGGTCTCCAAACTGGACACATATATTTCTCTGCTTTGACCTTTGTTCTGCCCACCTGTGACACTTACTCCACCCTATTTCAGCCACTCAACTGCTAAGTGATTTTCCAAAACTCCATTCCACACCAGCTCTTCTAGTGCAGTTTCTCCTGGTGGCCTCCGACCTCCACGGCATTCCCATTGGACTTTCAGGGTGCATCGCCTCTGGCTGCACATTACGTGCTACCTGGTTTTATTAACGATCTCATGCACTCGGGACCCATCTGTGCCATACATTCCTCATCTCATCCTGGACATCCTATCTTTCGAGGTTTACGCTATCGCCAGAACATAATTTGCATTTAATGGTCTGAAAGTGAGCTCAGATTTGCACTCTTACCTGTTTCTGGAGGGACAGTAGTAAATTAGTATAATCTTTCAGGAGGAAAGTTAACATTATCTATAAAGATATATACAATTCATATTTTAAAAGAATCTGTACTTGTTGACCCCAAAATTCTACTTCTGTAACTCCCTCCTAAGAAAATAATCAGAAATATGAATAAAGATTTATATAGGGATATTTATTACAACATTATTTGTTACCATGGAAAAAAACTGGAAGTAACCTAAGTGCCTGGCAATAGGGGAATGGTTTGAGAAATCATGACACTTTATGATTATATAATCATTGAATTATGATAGTATTACATTATAGAGCCACTATAAAGGGTATTTTTGAACTAGTTAGTGACATAAGAAAGTGCCTGATAATAATGTCAAATGAAAAAAGGATATATAACTGTTTATGGTCTACACTATGATCTTATTTTGGAAAACAGTGCGTATTGGCAGAAGAAAAGACTAGAAGAAACTTCAGTAGAACGTTAACAGCAGTTACTTCTTGGTGACAAGATTACTAGTGATTTAAAAACTCTTTATAGTTGTCTGTATTTCACAAATGTAGTCAGAGTAAGCACGCATTACTTTTATAATCAGTAAAATCAAACATTATCTGAAAAAACACAGCTTACTGCTACATGTAAAACACCCTTCTCAGCTGTGAGCAGCTGGCACGTAAAGGGCTAGGAACATCCTCATTCATTCAGTCAAGGTCTCAGAGCCCCAGCTACTTTCTAGGCACTGGGCTAGGTCTCAGGAGGCCACGGTTAATGTGACATAATCCCTGCCTTGCGGGAGCTCACTGTCTGAAGGGCAGAGATGTGTGTGTGTCTATAGCTGCCTCCGTTTATCTCACATGGGCTTCCCAGTGAGGGCCGGGGTGGGCAGAGGCACTGGAGGCCAGGAGTGAGGGAAGAGGTCGGGAAGGCTCCTGTAGCAGGCTGTCGCTCCTATTTCCCCTCAGTAGTAGACACCATGAAAACCGGCCCGAGTGGGGCGCACGCACCTCGGTTTTCCTTGGCCAGGTTGTCGGCCATCTCCCAGTAGTCGTAGCTGTGGAGGATGCTGTTGGTGATGCTCACGTGGTTGGCCGCCATCTGGTGGATGCGCTGCGGGATGCTGACGATGGTCGACGGGGACAGGGCGTTGGTGCTGGAGAGGCTGCCCTGAGACCCCACGGAGCTGGCGGGAGAGGGGTTGGGAGACATGGGGGATGGGGTTCCAGTGCTCCTGGAAGGGGAGAGGTAGAGAAACCAGAGTGGCGAGGTCGGGAGCGGGCGCGCGGGGCAGCCCCTGGGGCCCTGCAGGCCAAGCGGCGCCGGCAGCATGCACTGTCCGGCTCTGGCTTTTACCTGGGCAAAGTGAACTTACTTTCCACTGGCCCCCCACGGAGATGGGGCTTGGGCGGCTTTAGATGAATTCTGCAGGAAAATAAAAACATCGACAGTGAGTGCCATCTGCTTAAGGCAGACAATAGCGTGTTCTCGGGCGACTGCGGAAAGAAGGAAGGGCAGACGCTGTGGACGAGAAACTGGATCTGCGAAGTTCCAATGATAAGGCTATTTGCTCCCTCTCTGGAAGCTTCTCTGGGACAGCTGCACGGCCTGGGGGCCCCACAGGGCGCTAAAATGAAGGACTTGTCCCACAGCCTGGGTTTTTATGTACAAATTTTAGGTATTACATTAAATCATAATCCCAAGGGTTTGTTAAATCCTGAATCAGGCTAATTTTTCCATCATAAACTAGTCTAATTTTTCTGAAAAGGAAAAAAGCATAAAAACTTCCTCATCCCCCCACCACCCCCAGGACATCTTATATTTAAAAGTAGAGCATATTTGTAGAAATGGTTGACATATATTTACTTAATGCCTGAAAATATATAAAACATCAAATTCTGTAATTTTAACTTTTAAAAGTATTTCTTGTAAAGGAAGTTGCTCTTAGATACTCCTAAAAGAATAGATTAAAATATATTTCCTAAGCAGACAGGATATTCAAAGATTCTGGTTTATCTGAATATTCTGATTTAGGATGTTATGTTGCATGAACCAGGTATTTGCATCAAGCATTTAAAAGAGGTTTTGTCTTTAGCAAGGAAAGTTGCTAAATACACAGGTTTCCTCTCTGAGAGCCCAATAATGTTTTCTTGGACAGAAGTCTACAGGACTGTTAGAGAAAGAAACAGTCTTTGTGATGCTGATGGAAATTTTCCCTTACAGAGACAAGAAAATAGCCTCAGCCTGGCTCCCCAGAGACAACGTGTTTCTTTTGGTTAGAAAGAACTTTATGAAGTGGTGACTGATTTTTCTAGTTTTAGTGCAGGTGTTATTAAAATGGTAAGAAATGGCCTGTCAGAACTCAGGGGTGCTACAGCAGCAGCGAGGTATAAATATAAGGATAGAATTGCAAACCATACTACTTTTAACTTGTCTCAGGGAATGGAATTATTTTCATAGAGAGAATTAGAAAAAGAAAACCTTCCTTAATAGGGGAGCCGACCTTCCCTTTCCTAACAGATGTTATTGACACCTTTCTCAGTCTGGTGTTACTGGATTGAGCACTTGGTTTCCACTTCATCATGGGATTCTATTAATAAGAATGTGATCTATAGAATGGATGTTCCGAATATAATAAGAATGCTAAGAGGAGAGAGGGAGAGAGGTTTTGGGGTTGCAGGAACAGTTCAGTTAAAGGCGCTGAAGGGAGAAAGAAGTCTTCTGTCTCTTCCCCTACCAGTAAGCACCAGGACCAAGAAACACTTGTGGGAACAAAGGCCCCTTTTCAAAGACAGCTTTGTACTGATTAGACAAATTATCCTTGGTACCCAAAGGTTTCACAGTCTCTGAACTTCAAGTTGCATGCATCCATTCATTCATTTATTAATATTTATTTATTTAGAGATAGGGTCTTACTCTGTCACTGTGTCACTGCTGGAGTGCAGTGGCACAATCACAGCTCACTGCAGCCCCAAACTCCTGGGCTCAAGTGATCCTTCTGGCTCAGCTTCCTGAGTTGCTGGGACCAGAGGCATGTGCTACTGTGCCAGGCTAATTTTTAAATTTTTTGTACAGATGGCGTCTCACTATGTTGCCCAGGTTGGTCTCGATTTCCTAAATTGCTGGGATTACACATGTGAGCCACCACATCCTGCTTTAAGTAGCATTTAAATAGCCTTTGAAACTTTGTACCTTTTAGGTACAGTTAGCAGGAATAAATTCTGGAGAGCTATTATACAGCATGGTGGCTACAATTAATAATAATGAATAGTATATTGAGAATCTTTCAGAGTTGATTCTAAACGTTCCCATCACAAAAATAAGTACGTGAGATGACGGATATGCTCATCGGCTTGATTTAATCATTCCACGATGTATACATATATCAAAACATCACACTGTATGCCATACATATATACAATTTGTCATCAGTCAATTAAAATTTTTTTTTAAAAAATCATTTTTGATTAAGGATAAATGCCATTAACTCTTGGAGGGGAAACTGATTTTTAGGTTGCATTCTCTACCCATTCTGTGCATATTCATGGGCTGCATATGTATATCTTTCTGTATCCCTTCAAAGTTCTGTTGTAATCCCTTGTGGCTTACAGAATTCAGCTTTCTTCTTTTCTCCCCCCATATACATAAACATACATATTTATATATACACATATACATAAGCATAATCAAATACATTGTAGCTATTATTTTAAAGAAACTGTCATCCGTTAGATAAATTAAGAAGAAAAATAAAGGTTTTAGCTTCCTTCTTTATTCAAGCATTTTTCTTGACTATAGCCAACTCTCTTTGTTATTAGCTCTTAGATTCTGAATTTCTGAAAACTGCCGATCTTGACTTTAGGCGCCCAAAGGAAAGGGAAGGCTCTGTGCCAGTTGTTGTCATCAGGAACACATGATGGGCCTAGAGAGTGAGCTCCTCGGCTCAGCCCCTGGGCACTCTACATGCACCATTAGGAAGGAGGCAGTGTGCTGGACACAGCCCACGGGACCCCCAACATGGCCTAGTCACTACAGCTAATCTCCAAGGGGTGAGGAGTGGGGATTAAAAGATCTCAAAATGGCTGTGTATCTGACAAAGGGTTGGTAGAGGTAGAGATGGTATAATTTTTATTTTCTATAGATAAATAGAGAGAGAAGAGGCCCAGAAATATCAAATGAATTATTAACTTCATGTTGACTTCACAGTAGTATATCAGAGAAGGTTTTTAAAAAATTTATTCTCCCAGTGAAAATAGTTTCATACCCTGAGATAAGTAAAGGCTACATGGTTTGCAATTTTATCCTTCTAGTGCCTCTGAGTTCTAACAAGCCATTTCTTACCATTTTAAATAATACCTTGATTAAAAATTAAATTAGCTACTAGAGACTACCTAAGAGGAAATAGCGCTAAGTAGTTACTTCTAAGGGGAAGAAGCTCTAACTGAACATGAAGAATTTATCTGAGCTATAAAGATGAATTTCCTAGGACACTGGAATGAGTAACTGGATCTTCTTTCTCTTGAGGCTGTAAAAATATGTAGACATGAAGGCAGGGAAATAAATTAAATGGGCTCTCAAGGCCCAGCTGCTGAGCCCTGCAAGCCACAAGTCTGTCATAAGTGGGGTTAGTCTGCAGACCAGAGGTGACTTGTATCAGCCCCAAAGCAATGGGTTCTACCAGGCTCCTCAGAAATTCCCTTGACAGGGAGACAATGGAACACAAGGAACAATGTGCCTCATTCATCAGATAGTACCTTGAAATAGTCGATAAGTGCTTTTGAATACTTCACAGCGTGGTCCCTTTTGAGTCGAAACATCCGCCAGTACAGGAGAGCCAGGCATCGGTAACTGCAGCAGAAAAAAGAGAAATGGGCCCCAAAGAGCATGAATGTGTCCTTCACAAACAAGACTTAAAAAAAAAAATCCTGTCCAAGGCACTCAATATTTATACCATGTTTATAAATCTAAAATCTTTCCATATGTACATATGTGTCTGTGAATATCTAACCTTTTTTTCCCCCAAAAATATAATTTAAAATTCCAAGAAGAAATTCCACAAACATATTTACCACTAGATCATTTTATGATTTTAACTTTATCACTTCTTTTCTGGGTGACAGGGGCTGGCTGCTTCCTTCTTCACCACTAGAGGTCAGTCCTTCCCCACGAGAGGAGGGAAGGGGCTCTAGCATACAGCTTTCACCGCTTCCTGGGTGAGCTGCCTTTGCCGAAAGGATCCCCTTACACCTGTTTTTACCAAACTTTTAGTTCACATAAAGGAACAAAAGTGAACATACTTTATAAACAGTAAAAACATTATGTGGATATCAGTTATAATTTTGTTATTATTTTTATATATATTTTATACTTATTTACATATTAGCTTTCTATCTTATACAATATTATTGTCATTAATTTATTATCCCAATATGGAACTTAAAATTTGAAAAGAGTACAAAAAGCGTTTCTTGAGACTTATCCTCTCTTCCTTGGTGTTCTTCACTCATAATTATTCACTAATGCACATCTGGGATTGATGTCTAGAATACCAACATGCCAAGTACAACTTACTAGACTATTAGGGTATCAAACTCCAGGTGACGTGATGATGTCAAACAATCTGAGACCCTCTCTTTTCTGCATGTAGCTGTTATGTTTTTTGAGACTATTAGATTTTCTAACTTGCAGATCAGGTTCTAGAGTAGAATATGAACCTTTAGAGAACAAGCAGTTCTGAATCCTTTCACTTAAGGGACCAACAGAGAGGTATCCTGGGATTTTGGAAGTGCAATGAAGTGTCCTGGGAAGATGCCATGGGGAAGATTATTATCATTATTATAATCATATAATCATTATAAATATAGAAAACAACTTATATATTGGTTAACATTTTGAAAGAAACGATTTTATCGTCAAAGTATAATGAGCTGCTCCTTAGTTTAACGTGTTGAGAACTTTAATGTGTCATCTTGCTTCAGCTGTACTACTCCCATATGTAAAGCAATACATGAATTATTTTGGTTGCATCTAATGTGTTAAACACAAGTCAAATTCTATTTGGCATAGTTCACATTCAAATTACTGAAACACAGGGCTACCTGATTTTAAAACACACACACATACAGAGAAAAATTATCCTTGTGTAACCAATCTGTCGATTTTCAATCACTGCAAACTCAGATCATGCAAGGTACAGCAGCAAGAAGGGGCGGGGAACCTGCAGCCTCAGAGCCACATGTGGCCTCTGGATCCTTCAGTGCAGCCTTTTGACTGAACTCAAACTTCGCAGAACAAATCCTTTTAATAAAGGGATTAAAAACAAATCTTTTTAATAAAGGGATTTGTTCTGTGCAGTTTGGATTCGGTTGAAGGGCTGCACTTGGGGATCTGGAGGGCCACATGTGGCTTTGAGGAGGCGGGTTCCCCACCCTCTGGACTCTCCCTGGTCTTTAGAACTGCTTTGGCCTTTGTCAGTTAGAAGGTGCTAGGAAAACATGACGCATTTCAGCACCTGGTTCGCCAGCAATGACATAGGAGGCTGGGATACTGTACTAAGCTGAGATGATGCACTCACCATAATGCAGCCAGTTGTTTATCCTCCGGTGTAGCGTTGGGGCCTGAGTGGGTTTTTAGTCTCATAGCATACCTAAAAAAATAAAAAAGAAAAAGAAAAAAGAAAAAATAAAGAAATTTAAAAAAATGCTTTCTGATTAACAGCAGAGCCTTTTCTTTGATGTTTGTTCTCTCTGCCCAATCCTTAGTTTTTCACAGTGCTTGCTGATAATTCTTCCTTAAAAGCTAGCTGATGCTGCTCCATTTCCCCCGAGCAGTACATTACTGTGATGACTAGACCAAAATGACTTTTATGACTGCCCTGCTACTTTCTGCTCTTTAACAATACAAGTTCAAATGTTACAGATTATCGGGAGTGATACCTGCTCAAGAACTATTCATGTCTATGGTAACATGTCCATTTTTCCCAAATTTTGATTTATGGCTGAGTGGCTGACAGGAGGAGGCAAAGTTCAATCCTCTGGGCTCACTCCAGAAGAATTTTCATCCCTCGTGCTCAGATGAATGCTTAGACTTATCCCTTTTTCTTTGTTATGTAACTCTTACTTTGACAGCAGTGTATGTATCCTGGGTACATTTTAAATCTATATTTGCTCCCACAGACATGTTAGGAGAAACCAGCAGCTTTTATGGACTGCACTTAATTTCATTTATTTCTCTGAACCAGGGGAACTGTGGCCATGGCTTTCTCCCAGGAGCATATGAAGTTACATATGCAGACTCTTGGAGAACGTTGAGGCAGTATGTGTAACAGTCAGAGAGTCCTAGGTTCAAATCCCAGTTTAGCCACTTAATGAGTTGTAAGAGCTTAGACAAATGTATTAACATCGTTAAGCCTCCATTTCCTTATTTATAAAATAAGACTGCCAATCACATAGCATTGTTGTAAGGATTAACCGAGATACTGTTTGTAAAGCTCTTGGCATAGCTGGCAGGTTCGTTGTAAATTGCTCAAGAAATGATACCATTAATCATTACACTATCTCTACAACGTGCAGATTGATAGGGTTTTTGAGTGTATCTCTTCACATAGTTTTCACAGTGGTTGCTCTGAGTATTATAATATACATATAGGACTTGTCACAACTTATTGGTATCAACATTTTCCCACTTGGAGTGAAGTGTGGAAGTCTTACTTCAATTTAAGTGCCTTGTCTTCCCCACTTTTAGACAACATTGTCTCGAGTATCAGATGGTGGTATAATTTTAGTTTCAATCATCAACTATGACTTATAAAACTCATGAGAATAGTTTACTCTATGTATCTACATTTCTGTTCTTTCTTCCTTCCTAATGCTCCAAAATTCCTTCTTTTGTCATTTCCTTTTTGTTTGAGAAACTTCCTTTAGCCAGTCTTTAAGGGTAGGTCTGTTAGAGACAAATACTTTTCATTTTCCTTAGTCTGAGAATATTTTTATTTCTCATCATTTCTGAAGAGTCGTTTCACTGAGTCTAGAATTCACGGCTTGACAGCGCTCTCTCTCCCACCTGGAAAGTGTCAGGCCACTCCCGCCTGGCCTCCCTGGTTGCAGATGAGAAGTCTGCTGCCCTTTGGGCTGATGTCCCTCCCCTGCAGGTAAAGTGTCATGTACCTCAGGCTGCTGTTTTCCCCTTGTCTTTTGTGTTCAGAAATGTAATTATAATTTGTCTTGGCATGCATTTCCTTGAGTTTACCCTATTTGGGTTTTTCTCAGCTTGAACCTGTAGGTTTATGTCTTTTGCTGAATTTGGCGAATTTCAGACATTACTTCTTTAGATAACACATTCTTAGTCCCATTCTATTTTCTCCTCCTTCTGGGACTCCAATGATACAAATGTTGGATCTTTTACTGTACTTGAGGCTCTGCTTATATAGTTTTTTTCAGTTTATTTCCCCTCTGTTGCTCAGATTGGGTAAATTATGTTTTCTGTCCTCAAATTCATTGATTCTCTTCTCCGTCATCTCTACTGTACTACTGAGTCCATTATTTTTGTTGTTCTATTATCATATTTTTCAGTTCCATAATTCCCATTTGGTTTTTTTTTTTTTTAATATAACTTCTATTTCCTTGACAAGATTTTTGGTTTTTTTGTTTGTTGCAAGATAATTGTAATTATTCACTGAAGTGTTTTTATAATAGCTGCTTTAGAATCCTTGTCAGGTAATTTCAATGTCTGAATCGTCTTGGCATTGGTGTCAGTTGATCATCTTTTTTCGTTCCAGTTGTGATTTTCTTGGTTCTTGGAATGACAATTGAGTTCCTGGCATATCCTGGACATTTCGGCTGTTATGTTAAGAGACTGTGGTTCCTACTTAAGTCCTTTCTTTTAGCAGGCAGTCACCCTCTCTGGGTTTAGCAAGCAAGTGCTAGACTCCTTTTGGGGCAGTGGTTCCAAGTATAATTTAATTTCCAGAGCCTTCCTGACACTATTTTGGTCTGCTCGGTTGATCTGGTGGCACTGGGGCTCCAGCTGGTCCCTGATGGTGCTGCTTGGGGCGAGGTGGAGGGTGAGAGGAGAGGCTCTCCAGGCTGGGCCCCTGTGGTGGCAATGCTCCACTGACCTTGGCCCCGTGAGGTCCCCTGAAGGAGAAAGGAATTCTCCTGCCTGTGAGGACACAGAGTGCATCCTGGGCTAGGCCCTGTGGTGGCAAGATCCCCTGTGCCAGTGCTCCTGGCCCCCCAGTGTCACTCAGTGGGAGAGAGGGATACCAGGCTTAGTGGGCGATGTGCAGATTTATGTGCCAAATTAATTACTGATGTTTTCTAACTTAGGTTAAAAAAACACCACCTCCTTTTTTTTTCTGCGTAGTTTAAGGGATTCTCTTCATTCTGAACTATCTAGATGATGCACTGTGTTCTCTACCGTACAAAGTTACTTGCACCAGTGGGCACAGTGGGTGTGACACCCCAGTACCCCCAGATGCATCTGACTGGCATCAAGCTTTTCTTGTTTTTGGACTTGTTTGTTTCATTTTAAAAATGTGAATGACTTTAAGCAGGCCATGATATTCCAGTTCCCTGCAGGCCCTATGCTTGCTTATTCATTCATTCCTCAAATATTTATTGAGCACATACTATATGCCAAGAAGAACTGTTCCAGGGGCTAGGGATACATCAATGAACAAATCAGATAAAAACCAAAAAACTCCCTGTGCGCAAGGCACTCACATTCCAGGATATTATATGTTACTGCTTTGTTCCCGCCTAGTTGCACCCGCTTTCTTCCCTGCCTGCTGTGGGCATCTGAGGCTGTTCTGAGGAAGGAATGTGAGAGGATCTAGGGTCTCTTAGACCAATTTTAACAGTTTTTCACTCTATTGTTTTCTTTTCTTCGCTGCTGAAAGTACTACACCATATAAGAAGAGAGTATAAAGGAATCGCCAATACATTGGCTTTAGTAGAAATATTTTAATAAGAAAAATGACTAGGTGGTGTTGACTTTCAAAACATTCTTGAGAGATGCTTTTTGGAGGTGATGTGTTCTCTGACGTCAGGATGGCAGTTTCCAACCTGGGTACTATTTACTGAAGGAGAGTGGTGTAAAACACCAAGGGGCATCTCTGAGCCAGTGTAGACCAAGAAGACTATATCCTAAGATGATTAGAAATCTTCCATGTGGAATGTTGGGATGTGGTTAAAAAAAAAAAAATCTAAGCTTAGGGCTGCATAGAGTCTCAGAATCACAAAAGCCATTTACAATCAGTTTTAGGAAGAATTATTTCACATAATGGGTATTAGACATTATCCCAAGCAGTTAAACTGCCTAAAAACATCAAACTATACGAAAACTATATGATGAAGGTTTTCAGTAGGGTTAATGGATGAAATTTCCTTAATTGTTCATTAAAGAGAGGTTAATGAATGTGCCTTTTCAGGTCTCCGTCGTGGAACACGAGGGTCTCCCACAGAATACCTAGGGCTGCCCCTGTCAGAGACTCTACACATCCGCTTTGTCACACGTCCCAGCTCAGGCTGGGGGATGGTGCCTGTGTCCAGCTGTAGCCCAGAGCCGCGGGAGCACCCCCTGGACAGTGCACTACAGGATGGCTGCTTCCCTAAGATCCCCCTGAATCTGAATCTTCTTTCCTTTCATCAATTCTCCTGAATCCTTTACTGATGAAGTTAAAGGTTTAGATTATACTTACGAAGCGAAATGAGTTCCAAATCTGCCACTTCCTAACTGGAGGAAGCAGGCACGTCTCAGACTCAGCCTCCTCCCTCAGCAATCCAGGGTTACAGGCACTGCCCGGCTTCATTCACACACACAGCACAAGAGGCAGAGGGTGCCACGGTGCCTTGTGAAATCTTATGCTCTTATTTTTGGAGGCTGACGTTCTTTTCTCTGCATTCATGGTGCTTACACACGCTCCTCACCTCCCCTCACCTCCCAGCAAGACACTGTGCTCACCTGATGAGTTCTACTGTTTCCGAATACATCATATAAGGAGATTTGGATTCCATGGGGCCTTGTTCCATTGCATTTCCACACTCAATGAATGACAAAGCTGCTTCCGCGTAGTTCAAAGCCTTTCCAAACTTTTCCACCTGATCAACAGAATTAATAAGTGACTTCCTTAACAAGAGTTTTTTTAAATGGCATTGTCACACAGTTTATATGCTATTTGAGAAAGCCAACTTTTGACTTCCAAAATCCTGTGAATGAAGCTGGGAGAACAAAGAAATAAGATACTTCCTTCTCTAGTTATTTTCTCAAGTTGCTACTGGTTTGTAGTAAGTGAGTAAATGCTTACATATAGAATAGTACCAAACCCATGTGACAACTGCCAATCCACATTACTCAGAACTTCATGGCAACTCTAATTTCCTAATTTCTGTTTCCCTATTTCTAACCCCTAATGGTTTGGCAACTTGATTCCTTGTCCTTCCATGCTATACTGAACATCCATCAAAGTTGATAGGTCTGGTTCCATAGAAGAGTTTTCATACTTTTTTTGGTACACCCCCAACTTGGTTGGTTCCAGGCCGTGGTTATTATTTTTTTCACTACCTGTGACATTTACGTCTCCATGTCTTCCTCTTCTCAATTGTTTTTTCACTAATAGTTAGGACCTCACTTAAGAGTGAAGGTGAGGAGAGGAGAAGAGAAGAGATAAAACCCAAGGTGCTATTTCAGCTTTGCCAAAATGGAACACAAAGTTGAAAATTAATAATAAAAATGGTTTTTTTGGAATTATCTACAGTTGTCTGAATTTCTGTTAATCTTTCCCCACATCAGCAAGGATAACCACGAATCAGATTTATATTCTTAAATTCTCAGAAATCTAAACTTACATATCAAGTTCCTGGTTCCATACAATTCTACTCTCTCTAGAAAATTGCATATTCCAACTTTGGATGGCAAAGTCTCCCCAATTTTCAAGTGACTCACTCATCAATCAAAACATAGAATGACACACATATTCTGAATACTATTCTAAGCCTTGCCACTGAAAAAACAAAAACAAAACTTCATTAGTAATGATATCTTAGAAAACAGAAATGTAGAACAAAATTCATTAGCAAATCAAATTTTTAAGCTCCTTATAAACTTAACAGGCTATAAAGCAGTATTTCTTGGCAACACTTTCAGATAAAGGAAGTCATTTCATTCAGTTAAGTGTTTGTTTCCTAAAGCATCCAATTCTGTGGTATGTGCACTTGACAAACAAAAGCTCCTTCCAGGAACATTTAATACATTTGGAGAGAGAAAATGTGGACCTACAGGATAGTTCCAAGCGCAAGGCGGTCTGTGATTAACCAACACAACACAAAGCAAGGATCCCGGTGCAAATGAGATGGTGGGAAGGGAGCAAGTGGTGGGGCCACAGAGGCTGAGACGGCTGCAGGGAGGGGACCTGAAAATGATACCGGGAAGGAATCCCAGGTTTTACCAGCTTTGGGGAGGATGCTGAGGGTGTGAATGCGAAGCTCCGCAGGTGCAGAAGCTCTGAGGTGTGCTTAGAGGCTAGTGGGGGTCCGGCCTGGCTGGAGCTGAGGATCTCTCTCTTGGGAAATGGTCAACAGGAAAGGTAGGGTTGGGCAAGATGACAACGAATGAATAAGGCCATAGATCTTAGGGGATGGATTCAGGCAGAAAATCTCATTCTGTTTAAAAATTTGATGCTCTTCTCCAATAGTGGCCGTGCATCAGCTTCTTCAGGAGAACAGAATTCCCCATCAGATGTGGGACTGTGTGGACAAGAATTGTACCTTCCACTACTCTTCTCTGTTTTCTGATACTCAGGGGTTCTTCCCCCCGCCCCAGTGTTCCCAGGCAGTGGTCTTCATACAAATAAATGTCTAATGAACACCATCAGTAGCACTGGAAGAGGGGCACTGTTACGGTTTAAATATCTTTAATATTCTGAAAGTCATTTAAAATGCCTTATCCATTTCCAGCACCTGACTCATCTCAGTTGAGAACACTGGAGGGGAAGAGAACTGGAATTACTAGGTAGGAAGGAGTCCCTTTAGATGAGACCTTAAGATGGAATGACCACATGATCTCTTGGAGAAAAAAACCCAGAAGTTTTCTATCTCTTGCCTGAGAGCTTCAAGCTTTCCACAACGGGAGATTATCCAAGTAAGAAAAGTTATTCTTTGAAAACATCAGATCATGGTGACTTTAGAGTCTTATGTGCAGATAATAGTCTCTGTGTTGTACAGTTTCAGAAGAAGCATTCATTTTGGCAGATACACATGAAGAACACAAGTGTTTTTGGAAAGGGATTTGATCCTGGGACCAAGCCAAGGGTTGGTGAGGCTAACAAGAGAGAAAAATGGAAATCTAGATTTCTTTTTAGAGGAAAAAAACTACTACCACCCACTGACTCCACTGGCTCTAGTTACCATTCAAACCTCAGGACTAAATTGAAATATTCGTTTATCCAGGCCTTTCTCCCAGTCAGACATTATTGGTTGAAGTCATAATTTATTGGGTTATGAACACTTGATTATATAAACATTTCTCCATTTAACAGACCCAGCCATCCCTGTAATAGATTTTATAATTACCCTAGCTATATTGCCCCATGATGAAGCTGCAGTACAAACATAATTTGGAAGAATATATTTGGAAAGAAAAGGGTCTTACCATTGCATCTGCTTTATGCTTCATTCGTTTAGCTTCTTGCATAAAATAATCTGCACTGCGAGGCCTACAAGGAGAGAATGATACTAAATGTCATTATTGCTTAAGTGCATGATCTTTTGAAAATATTCTTTTCTTTCACTCAAACTTATAGCCCAATTTAAAAACTCTGTTTAATGTGAAATTAAGTATTTTTTCACCTTGTCAAATAACTGACTATATGTAAAATACCACTATTATTTTTCTCTTAAGTTGGCAATTCTAAACACACTCAATATATGCTGATATCTTCATTTATGGTGGCTTTAACATAGTCCCCTGGTGCCTAATTTGTGAATATTTTTTACTGTATGGTTAAGAAAAAAAGGCAAAAAATTTCATTTTATACAATATTTACATAAAGCAATCCCTTTTAATGTAAAGATTGTAAATATACCTCATAATAATTGTATGGATATGTATGGGTGAGTATATTTATGTATCCTTATGAAAATAAGTGTCATTTATATGCTTAAGTAGTACCTAGTGTTGTGTATATATATGCTAAATTATTTTAAAGCCTCACAGTGAAAAATGAAAAAAGGTAATGTATGATTACATTCCAGTTGTAATGAAGTTAACTGTGAAATGATGTCTACCTTGTAACAATGCAAACATGGCATGTATTCTCTGGAGTTTTGATTAGCTAGCTGGTAAACATTAAGAGCAGACATGTGCATTATTAAAGCAATAACCCTGGCCACTGCTGACTGCCGGAGAGGAAGGTAATTCATCCAGAGACCGATCTGAGTGTGCATAATGACCCCAAGTTACACTAAGCTACTTCTCAGATAGTACCTTTAAGTGCTTAGTCTAATAGATTTTTTTTAATTCTACATCCTTTAGGTACCATCAACACAAACTTTATGTAATCAATAAACTTGACGTATTCATGAATATCAAATATATGCCAGGACTCCCTGAATGGGAGCTACGATGTAAGCAGTGATATTAATCATGCACTGTTTAACCTATTGTGACGTGCTTATTTTGAACTGCCTTATTTCAGATTCTAATGAACCTTTTGCCTTACTCTAATATTAGGTAGTCAGAGCATTCATTTCTCCAAAGAGGTCAAAACGCTTAGCAAAAATGCATACCGTGACAATGACATTGTGATGTAATCAATCAGTCATACAAACAAACAAACCAGACTCACAGCAAGTAATTAGTTTCAGGTAAAAAAATCACTGCTGTTAGAAAAGGACCTGGTTTTCTGTCTCTTATTTCTCTATAAAATATTGTTAATACTGCCATGACCTTCTGGACTATTTAATTTTCTCCAACAAAGAAACGAGGAAAACAGCTCTGGGATTTCCTTAGTGTGCAGAGTGAAATCCCAGCCTCTGGCTCTTCTGCCCTTCACTCGTCTTCCCCCATCTCAGGCCCAGAACCTTCCATTCATCTGGGTGGCTCTACCACTGGGGGGCAAGGCCTGAGATCTCCTTCACGGGAGGGCCCCTGCTCCTCCCGGCTCTCCTTGCTTTTTCTTTTTTCTTTCTTCTTTTCCTTCTCTTTTTCCTCTCCTCTCCTTTCCTTCTTTTTTTCCCCTTCCTTTTCTTTCCCTCCCTCCCTCTCTCCTTCCTTTCTTCCCTCCTCTTTTTCTCTCCTTCCTTCCTCCCTCCCTCCCTCTCTCCCTTCCTTCTTTCTTTTCTTTCTTTTTAAACCCACTCTGCAGTTGCTGGGACCAGCTCTGCTTTCTCTAGTTCATATCCTACATGCCCAAACCTCCTCCATTTGAACAGCTTTTTAGTTGCCTTTAAAGGTTGTTTTCCTTCTTTGTCGACATACCATCTATTTGGTCTTTGATTCCAACTCTGGCAATTTACATTATTTTAATAAACTTTCTTTTGTAGAGCAGTTTTAGGTTCATGGCAATATTGAACAGAAAGTACAGAGAGTTCCCATTTTCCCTCCCCCGCCATCCCAGTCTCCATCACTGTCAATATCCCGAACCAGAGTGGTACATCTGTTCCCATCAAAGAACCTACACGGATACATCATTACCACCCCAAGTCCACAGTTTACGTTAGGGCTCACTCTTGATGCTGGACGTTCTGTGGGTTTGGACAAATCAATAATGACACGTATCCACCATTATAATGTTACACAGAGCAGTTTCACTGCCTTAAAATCCTCTGCATTATTTTTTGTTCATTCTTTTGCTTCATACTCTAACACGGAAGACCAGACTCGACCTCAAGCCCAAGCTCGGATCTGACAAGCCTGGGCTTCAGATAGGCCCCCGAGCCTATTTATTCTGGAGGAGAATTCAGGTGTCTCCATCCATGTCTCCCTTGTCACCAAATGCTATGAATACTTTTTTGTAAACATTCCTCATTCTTCTCAATGACCATGTGCTACCACCCAAGCCCGGGCTCTCCTCACCTCTCTGGTTCCTTGGTCTCTAGTCTGACTCCCTCCAATCCATCCTGAGCACCACCCTTTGACCAATGTTTGTAAGACATGTCTTTCACCACGTTGTTGTCCTGCTCACAGACCTAAAATCAATCTCCAGAGCCTAAGTGACCAAATCTCAGTTCAGGTCCCCAATAGTCTTGCCTAACCCTCTTAACCATATCACTTATTCACCAAGGCCCTCAACCAAAGTCAGTGGTGGTTTCCGCGATGTCCTGGTAACATGCCACACCTGTCTTAGATGCTCTGCTCATCTTTTGCCCCAGCTGGAATATTCTCCCCTCTGCTCATTCACAGAGTACTCATTCACTGAGGGCCCACGATGAGCCCAATGGTACCACCCCTCAAATTCTACCACTATAACACCTTCCAGGTAGATTCGATCCATGCTCATCTCTGTCCTTCCTGATCTCACACAGAACTTCCTGTTTACACAACATTTCTGGGTATTTAGTTACCTTCGGAGCTGTACTGGGCTACACTTACTGCACGTGTGCAACTTGGTGGCTGGTACGGTTTCAGCAGGGACTATGCTGTAGACCTCTGTGATCTTCCCCTCTCAGTAGTTTTAGGCACATGGTAAAGGTAAACAAGTCCCTCTTGAATGGTACTGAATTCATTTTGAGCTTAGAAAAGAGTGGTGCCTTCTGATGGGGTACAGCATCGCAGTCAATGAGCCAGAGAGTGTCTCCATGGCAACCAGAAATTCTCCACATCATTATCTGCTCCACACTCTGGTATATAAGTTTGGTCCTTGTTTTCTTGCCCTGTTTTGTAGACCTTGTCACTAACAGATCATCATTTCAAATGCATCTCATTTTCATTAAAAGATTCCTTTGGTAATAAGCTGTGGCATCTTAGTTTTCACCAGGTTTCTGGGTGACCCTTATGGATGGCAGTGGCTCATAATTCCTCATACAGGTTCCTTAATCAACACTGTTTTATCGGCAGCATACGAACATGTTTTTTTCAACCTGATACAGAGACTGAGTCACAAACTCTCACCATAGTGCATGTGGATAAGTAACACACCTAATTTTCTGACCATATCACAGCAGCTACAATAGTAATCCGAGATGCTCATAGAAAAGGTACCATCTGGAGGCCATTTACGAACACATTTGTTAGAATTCTCATCTTTGCATATAATGGAGGGCTCGCTATAATGAGTCACTGAAGATTGCCTGAGGATTGGCCCATTTGCTCCTTTCAGGTGATTTCCAGTGCCAGGCTTCCAGATCAGATCATTATAAAGCCAACGGGACCAACGGGACGTCACCTGGAGCGTCCAGCATTGTCGTGAATGCATGCTATCACAAAGACATCCCTTCTGACAGCAATGTGCAAGTCAGTAGGAAAAGTAAAATTGCTGTCACCACTGTGGTGGTTACAGAATATGACATAGCAAAGGTACTAAAAGGAAAATCTAATTATCTCAATGTTCGAATAGGTTTTTCTTCTGATCTTCTATTTTCTTTTTTACATGGAAAACCTAGAGTTTTTGTTTTTCATTTATGTAATAAAATCCTTCACATTGTTTCTCACAGTGATGGTATTTTATGATGATACAAGAGCAAACCTAATAAAAGGTCAATTAAACATTAAACGGTATATCTTGGGCTCTTTAGAAATGGGGCTTGAGTGATCTAAAAACCAGAGCTTAGCCGCATGCATCTTCGTTGTAAGAGCTCTCTGCAACAAAAGCAATCTGAGTACTTGATCCAAATAGAATGTTTTCTTTTCTTCTCCTCATCCTCCCACCACCCCCACCTACAAACACATGGCCTTGGTTCTGAGCAGTAACAGGGCTTGAGCGACCCCAGTATTTCTTCTGGCACAGGAATATTAAAGGAACCTTGCTTTTTGTTCTCCTTTGTGGCTGAGACAGAGTTGAATGGTCTCCCACAGAGAGGCTGGCAGACTTCTTTCTGTAATTCCTACCTCTGTGAAATGCCGCCCCTCAGCAGAGCCAGCCTGTTTTGTGAAAACTGGCAGGGATGAGAGCTCAATGTGTTTGAACAAACAGGTTCCTCAGCGCAGCAGAAATTGGATGATTTTCTTAGGGAAGTTGAAATCCAAATCAGACAAATAGGCAACTGCATACCAAATGAATTCATCATCTGCTATCCGGTATGTCAGCTTGTCATTTCATAAACCCCAGAGGTGTTACTGTGTCCCAAGCTTTGAGCTACTTTCTCCAAAAGGAAAAAGCTTAAGAAATTAAGTAATTATTTTTATTATGCAGAGTAAGTGATCACTACCGATGGGGGCACTTCAGAGTCAGGGACTCTGGGAAGCTAGTGCTGGCTTTGTGGGTACTTCCCCATGGAAGCAGGTAGATTGCATTTAGACTCAAACACAGCTTTTATATGTACAACCTTGATGCTGGCTGGGACCAGAGTCCCTGGAGCCTGGCTTTCCAGAAGCACGAGCCGTCGTTCATTGTGTTTGTTGCTGGCCATACTCTCCTGCACACGATCGCTTCTCCCTTGGCCACGCGAGGAAAGCTGTGTATGCTTTCCGGACACGCCGGCTAAGCAAGGCAGGTTTTTGTCATTCAGTCAAAAGCAACTTTCTGGTGAAATGGAAAATGACCAATGTGATGGTTGTTCTTCTCTGGGTGTGACATTTAAAATGAAATAATTTTACAAAACCCTAAAAATGATCACAGATTTCAATCTGGGAGATCTGAATGTCCTTGACCGCCCCTCCAAAAGCCTACTCCTTTCTCTTTCTCTCTCTCTTTTTGTTTTGGTCAGAACAAAACAAGGACCTGGCCTTGAGACAGGGATTTCATAATGGGAAAAATTCCATATGGCAAACAAGAAAAGCTTTCTAATGGTTTATCAGGAAAATGCAAAGGTGGGGGCCAGCTTTGAAGTGACTAGGAAGGGGGTTCCCTCGGAAGAACAGTGCCCACTGCAGTCCCCCAGGAGGGTGCTCCTGGTGTCCTCTGACTAAATCATGCTGCCCGATACCCAACCCTTTACCTACGGGAATCTTCCCCTCCTCTATGAAATTAAAATCCTTTTAGCTATGAGACTGCTGTGCGTAATTACATTACAAATGTCAAGTCCCGCTTCCTTCCTCCCAGCCACATTTCATGTGCCACGGCCTTCAGCGACTCCATGGCCGAGGGAGTCTTTCCTCAGTGTTGGGAGGTTTAGGTAGCTGGGCCCCTGTTATCGGCGCCACGGGGACAGATGGGACGTTTGGTGCCTTGGCTGATCGTGACTGACTCTGTCGTGTGAAATATGGGCAAGAGACAGCACGTCCTCCAGGGAGCAGCCGGCAGCTCTGGCACCGGGGTTTGCTGGCGTCCCAACACAGCAATACGGCTGGCGGCAACAAGGAGCTTCATTCTGCAGCCAAGCATTGCACCACTACACTCCGTTTGGGACTTGAGCACCGAGGCCTCCACGACACAGTTGCTCTCTCTCAATTTTCCCTGGCCAAGAATTCCCTTGTCACTAATTATGACACCAAGTAATTTCAAGTTCATGGCTTTGCACTAATAAGATCAGTTTCTAGGCTTCAAGTTGAATTAAGTGTTGTCATTCATTGACATAAATTCTTACAGGTTTTTTTTTAAATGAAAGTTTGGTAACCACACCAGTGTCACTTTAATACTGCGGCTGTCAAGCAGTGAATGTCGTGCATTTGCTAAATGTCAGGGGAGGAGGTGAAGTCACACTGTCACCAGTCTGAGCTTGCAACTTATGAAGAACACGCTGACCTGGATCACATTTTTAAAATAAGTGTTATTCTGTTCAGTTGTGTCTATATCCCAAAGGCACAAACTGGTGCCTGTTTAATTGGTAAGTAACATAGGAAAAGGGGCTTGGAAGCCCATGAATTTACATTTACGTGCATGTAGATTCCTTATATTCAGAGAAAAAGAAAGGAAAAATGCAGACACTCCCCTTGGGAATGTTATTTATAATTCAGCTGGGTTCATTCACCACTTGTTATTGAGAACCCACTGGATTCAGCTGTTGTCTGAATTGCATGTTTATTCAACCATTAGCTAGTATTTATAATACAAAAAGATGAGTTTACTTTTTTAAAAAAGCTACACGATGCAGCTTTAAAAATTAAATGACAGTGTGGCATCTGTTACTTTTTGGATCAGTATAACTGGATTTCCATCAACTGTCAATTACTTTGGTGCCAATTATCTAGTCCTCTCTTTTATTCCACCGGTGGCCTCTCTTTGGTCATTTCACTGCTTGTTGACACCCTTAGTGAAGGTGAGTGACAAGGAAAGTGACAGGAGCTGAGATCCTCCTCTGTCAACGAGGTTGCTGGTGAAGAAGCTGGCATGGAATAGAGGAGGAAGAGGAGGAGGAGGAAAAGGAGGAGGAGGAAAAGGAGGAGGAGAAGAAGGAGGAGAAAAATGAGGCTTAGTGGTCCCAGAAAACCTTCCTGGGGAGGCCACCTTTGTGCTTCCCTCTCCCCTGAAGAACTGAGAATTAATTAATCATTATATCTTAGCACTTGTCCCTATACTTGGCACTTACTTAAGTGCTCAGTACATATCACTTGAACCTGGGGACATTTTACACAATTTCAGGTGACATCCTAGCCCACTGATCTCTTGAGGGTTGCTTATTTTTACTATAAGAGACAACGCCATTTTTACTTTTCAAGTTTGAGGAATCTTTCCACAACTTTCTTAGTTCAATGGCTGAGCAGCTATTTGAGTTGCGTGTTTATTTTACTGTTATGGATTTTAAATCAGTTGGGACACATGGCAATCGGAATGCAACATACATCTCTCCATATGATGGAATGCAAGAGTGCTTTTTTATCCTATTATATCTCTATCCATAAAAGGAGAAACAGTTTTATTGTAGCTGTCAGCCAGAAAAATTATCCATATTGCTAATGGGAGGAACAAATGATAACAGCCTCTTCGTTCATATAGATAGTGACAAAATTATATTAGCTTCAGCCCTAGCAGATTGAGAAACATTTCCTCTTGTAAATAGTCCAAGGATCTGCAGATCAAAGTACAATCATTTGGTTGTTGCCATTCTTGACTTAGCTTTCTGGTCCAATACACTGGAAAATTCCTTGCATTTAAATTTTCCATGTATGTTTGTTATATATCTGTATCTGTATCTATCTACCTATATATGAAATGCTCTTAAAACCATCTACTGCAAGTGTTTGGTGTTTTGAGCACCTCAGTCTAATACTCCTGTTTGATCATGTTGTTAGGTTAGGACTTCTAAATGCAAATTTTCATGTTTTCCTTATATATCATTCTAATCTCCTGTTTTTATAAATGATTAAAGTTCACATGAACAATTTATACCACCGAACCCTAATTATCAACGTAGTTGGCCAACTGATTGCACTCCCATTACATGCCCCCTCATCCCCCGGGGATTAATTACCACCTCCCTGGCTGCTCAGCAAAGGCAGTGGAGAAAGTGAGGGGAAGTGGAGGTGGGGGGAGGGTGGGAAGAGGCCAGGCTCAGAGTGAGGGTAGGGTCGGGTGCAGCTGCAGCCACGGGGAGAGGAGACACGTCCTCATGGGCCACCCTTAAACTTCCCTAAATCCAGTGATCTTGGATTGTGTTCATTAAACAAAACAAACAAAAGATGCGGATTTAGCTTTCAACCCCCAAATTCTGTGTCCTAATTAGCTATTGAAGTCCAAGTAATATGCGAAGACTACAACTTAGTACTCTCGTTTCCCAGGGACGTCTACGGAGGCGAATAAATGGACCATGTCTACACTCTGGGTGGAGGTCAGGGATGGAGAAGTGGACGGAGGAGGATGAGTCTGGATAGCAATTGTTCCCGTACAGCACTTTCCGTTCTCCAGACGCTGTCCCTGAGGAGATGTCCTCTAACTGGATCTTAGGAGAGCCCCCCCCTGGGGGAGCTACGGCATCTGTCACTGTTATAATTTTGGGGGAGACATTTGGAACCATTTCATTTTGTGACTCTCGGCAGGGTCCGCGGTTTGCAGTCTGTCTCCTCAGTTGCACCGTTAGCCGTGAGAGGGCAGGAGCTCCTACTTTTGCAGCGGCTCCACCCGGGACTGAATGTTTCCTGCCTCATACAGACATCATTCCCTGCTTGTTGGATAGCTAAAGTTGAAGACAGGATTCAAGCTGAACTCTTCAAACCCTATCTTATGCCTTCTAGACTTGTCCTTGACACATATTTTTTTTCCCTAAGAGCCTAAATAATTTTCAGCATCATTTTATCATTTCTCATTTGTCATTTTCAGCCTCTCCGGAGCATTCAGGATGTTATTTTTATTCAGCTTCTTCTCTTGTTTCTCCTCTATTTCAAACTGATGCTGGGAATGGAAGTTATACTGGAGTTTCAGTGCTGGAATTGGGCGAAGGATGACAGGGTATTTTTTTCCTATGTAAGAATCATTTATGCTATTATAAAGATAAAGTATTTTGGAGGAAAAAAGCTTTCAGGAGTAAATCACTCTTATTCTTTGCCTAATACAATTTATAAAAAACAAAAATGCTTCTCTTTCTGGCAGCATAAAACTGCCAACAGCCCACAATACAGGTGTTTAGAAACGTAAGACTCATTAACACTATTTGCCTTTGCTTTCTGACACCCTGAGTGCCAGCTCTAGTAAGCACTGGTTATTCTATCTGTCCGTAAACCCCACCGGGACTCAGGGGTGTGTTCAAAGTTAAGGCCTCGATTCCCTTTGAGAGGGACATTTAAATGACCAACTGCCGTGAGAGAGAATAGCCACAGTGTCAATTAGGCGACCTTTCCGCCCCTCACCATATTAGAAAAGGTTTTGAACTTACATGTCATCAAAGACAAGTTTCTGCCTCTTGCAGTCCCTGTGGCCGTTGGAGCCTGGAGACCACGGCTCTGTCTGTGGCCGCGACTTGTGGAGGGGAACGTTTTCGGAATTGTGAGCTGCTTTCTAAACAACAAACAACACACGAGACTTTGAGAAATTAGCCACCTAGCTGAACGAGGAACCCATTACATAGAATACCTTTTGTTCTACACAATATCTTTGTGTTCTGTATTAGAATTGGTGGTGATTTTGTTTTAATAAAGAGATATATGCATTCTAGGGCTTGAGCTGAGGGATCAAAAGGAAGTCTTATTATGGCTACCCTCACAGATCTGGAATCTGAGGTTTGGTGAGGTTAAGTGACTTGACCAAGCTCCAAGAGCTGCTGTGGTGGGCGCCCAGGGTTCAGGCCCCACTTTCCCAGTCCGCTCGACCAGTGGTTGGCCAAGCTGAGTGTGCATCGGAATCCTGCAGGGGGACTGTTAAGACACAGATTGCTGGACCGCACCCTGAGCGCTCCCGACTCCAGAGGTCTGGGGTGGGGCCCGAGATTCTGCATTTCCATCAAGTTCCCAGATGACCCTGACGCTGTGGTCCAGGAACCAAGCTTCCAGAACCACTTCCCTGTAACTGTCCCTCGCAAAAGAGAAGTCATTCAGGTCACAGGTGGACTGGTTCTTATTAGCCATCTGAGAAAAATAGAAAGAGTCAAAGGGAATCACTAGGAATTATTTAAAAAAAGGAACACATTCATCTATGGAAAATGTAAAAATCACATCAACCAGGGATACAAATATTTACATAGCACCTATTGTGCGTTAAACACATGGATCATAAAACAACTGTTTTTGGTTAGGAAATGAAAGTTGATTTCTCTGAAGTAATTAAAATTGAGTATATACAAATGTTTCTATAAATACAGACTGATTTTACGTGTCACATTTTAGGGGTTAGATTCTACAGCTATATATTTGTAGGAAAATCGGATGATAAATTTTTAAAACCGTTCTTAAAATCCTTCAACAGTGTCCGCTTGCTCTTGATAAAAGGCGCGATACCCGCGGAGTGGCCCCCACAGCCTGCATGTCTGGCTCTCGCTTTCTCTCAGCCACTCTCCCCTGCAGTCTCTGCGCCTCGGACTCAGGGCCAGTTTCCAGTTTGTCCTCAGGAACTTTGCATATGCTGTTTTTATCTGCCTGTAATGCTCTTTACCTCTTACCACACTGCTACTTGCCTTTTAGAGATCTCACATCAGGGGGCCAGCAACCTATGGCCTGTGGGTCAAACTTGGCCCTGTTTGTAAATAAAGTTTTACTGGAAACTAGTCATGCCTATCTGTTTAGCTATTGTCAATGGCTGCTTTCCTGATACAATGGCAGCGTTGAGCTTTGTGACAGAGATCAGAGATTGTGTAGCCCACAAAGCCTTTAGCTATTTATTATCTGACCCTTCACAGCAGCAGTTCTCGACTGGGGGCAATTTGACAATGTATGGAGACATTTTTGGTCACGACTGGGAGTGGACTGCTACTAGCACCTAGTGGGTGGAGGCCAGGGATGATGCGAAACATCCTACATCGTACAGGACAGTCCCCACGACGAAGAATTACTCAGCCCAACATTTCAGGAGTGTTGAGAAACCCTGTTTCACAGAAAGTTTGCCACTCCCCATACTAGACCAAGCCTCTGTTATGAGAGCTCCTAGTTCTCCTTGAGTTTCCTCTTGGCACTCAGACTGTTGGCAGTTAATTATGGATGTGTGCGATCCCCTGTCTAAGGTCCCGCCCCAGCTGGGCTGTAAGCTTCACGTGGGCACAGAGGGACCATTACTGCACCTCTGGTGCATAGCACAGTGCCTGGCACGTACTAAGGACTTGCTGAATAGCACCTGTTTGGTGAAAGAATGACTAAATGAAATCTGAAATCGGTTTATAATTCTCTGCACATCATCGTTGCTTGTGATATAAGGATCTAGAGGCAAAGAAAAATTTCGTTTTTTTAAAAGAATTGGTAGCTTGTTACTCTATATTTTTGTAATATGGTCTCCTCAGATTCGTTCAGCCTAGAATTAAAGATAATTGCTCCCAAATGAGGGTCCATGAAGATAGTTAAGTTCCCGAGGATGCGATAAGACTTATTAGGCTCTTGCAGGACCTCCTGCCAACATTTTTATATCTTTAATTCATGGGATAAAGTGTTAAATGCTACCCCCACCCTTGCATCTTTCTTTGTAGAGTGCTGTTCTCAAGTCCCACCTCTCTCCCTGCCTCACAAAGCCCAGATGGTTTTGATGGGCATAGTGACCTGGGAGAACTAACAGGGAGAGTTTGGAATTAATTAATGCCCCTGAGAGGATGAGTGGTCCAGGTTACCAGCAGTTAGAGACGAGCATGGCAGTGAAGATGAGCTAACATGTAGTGTTAGTTACACAGGTGTCCATAGGTGCTGGGGTCTTTAGATGATGCTGTCTCTTTCATATCTTATCACCACTGTTTAGCAGATAAAGAAACAGGCTCAAGGCCGGGCGCGGTGGCTCACGCCTGTAATCCTAGCACTCTGGGAGGCCGAGGCGGGCGGATTCTTTGAGCTCAGGAGTTCAAGACCAGCCTGAGCAAGAGCGAGACCCCGTCTCTACTAAAAATAGAAGGAAATTAATCGGACAACTAAAAATATATATAGAAAAAACTAGCCAGGCATGGTGGTGCATGCCTGTAATCCCAGCTACTCGGGAGGCTGAGGCAGAAGAATTGCTTGAGCCCAGGAGTTTGAGGTTGCTGTGAGCTGGGCTAACGCCACGGCACTCACTCTAGCCAGGGCAACAGAGTGAGACTCTGTCTCAAAAAAAAAAAAAAAAAAGAAAAGAAAAGAAAAAGAAACAGGCTCAGAGAGATTAAGTAAGTGGCCCAAGCTCACACTGCAACCAACATGTGAGGCTGGACTGTGAACCCAAGTCCTCTGTTCTTGTCCCAGGGGAGTGCCGGAATTGTCCCTCAGCATATGGCTGGAAAAGTGGTGGTGGCTGGCGGGGGTCCCCCGCTGTGGCTGCTATACTGGTCGACAAGGGTGGAGTGGGGGCCTGGCAGTTTTTGGTGTGAGGTTTCAATCCCAGATTTAACTCTGCCCTGGGATAAGGAATTTTTCCCTATGAAAAGGTTGGTGGTTCAAAACTCCTAATTTACTTTGTCCTGGGACGGTATTACTTTGAGGTCTTTTCTTTTCAGAATGGGAAATAAAATGCTGCCAAGCCCTGGGTTTCTTATTCCTCAGCTCTCTGTTGCGGGGTGAAGAGGTGCTCTCCCCTGCCGGGTCTCCCTAGAAGTGGCATTTGGGGATTCTCAAGGGGCCTCACTCATGTGTTTAGACTGTGCTAGGCTACAGACAGAGGGTGGGGGTGCTCCATTTCATTTTGATTTTAATGGGGAAAGGAAGAGCATCAACAAACCGTGAGGTCTCCGGCATGAGACTGCAGCTGGTTGTCGGCCTTATGCTTTTTGTTAGAAGAAGTGGAAGTGAACAAGCTGTTGCCATTAGGTCGGCTGGAAGAAGTTAGTTCATCGCTGGAGTATTTGTGTTTAGAGGCATCGGAGAGGGGTGAGACGGGCGACCGGAGCATTTTTTCATTTTTATTTATTGGTATTGCCACACTGAAAAAGGAAATTACAGTAATGGAATGCCACAGAGTCATTACAGGGAAAAGTAAATGTTTTATATATGACCCACACCTCCCATCTAAGACCTGCTGGTAGCAACGAGTTCATTGGGAATTATCATACCAGCAAACTCTATGGTATTAGGACCATAACAAACAATAAGCAAATCTCACTCATTGTTTCTTTACTCATTCTATCAGGATGAATAGTAATTCTGGAGTTAGCACCAAAGTAAATGACTATGAATAATTACACTTTCATTTTTTGAGATTTTCATCCAAGGATCTCAAAACACCCAACGAGCAACTTATTGTTTTCCTAACAAGCGTAAGTAGCAAGTAATGGAAAAAGTCAATCAACAATGATAAAAAGACAACAATTATTTCTAAAAAGATGTTTGCTACCATCTGAGCTTGTACTAATTATTACGTAGGAAATAATAGAATCACAGAATAACCTGCAATACATGAAGCCAACTTTAATTGTTGAGTTTCTGAGTTAACCAGGCACTGATCAGAATAAATACAGAATACAAAAACTGCCACTAGAAGTCACAATTTCTGATTCTTAGCTCCTAATTGCCTATGTTTGAATATAACTTCCTCCAAAACCAACCATCAGAGGAGAGGGATTTACTTATAGTTGAGTCTTTGCAATGTATATTTTATTGCTAGGGCTCTCTCCATTACTTTATTTTTTTTTTTTAAAGTATTATTGGGGAAGACACATTAGCCTGAAATAAACTCAATCATTGCTAATTTAAGATGCTTACAGAGGTCACCTGATAGAGTCAGTTAAAAGACTGGTAAAGGCATTTAACAAAGATTTAGTCATTATTCCTGGGGTTGAGGTCTCTTAATTGCACGTGTTGGTTATCACTGCAAACAAGCCATTAAAGTCACTTCAAAAAGCAATTTCCTTAGTCGGTGGTCACAGTAGAGAAATTACAAACAGAGGCCTTTAGAACAAGCAAGAAACTGAGATTTATAATATATGCAAATGAATACATGCGGGGATAGAATTTCTGGTGATAGATCTCTGGTTCCAAAAGCACTGTGTGTCTAACAACTCAGAAAGAAGTGAGAAGATGCGTTATAAAAAAACTACTTTGGGAAAATCAAAAGTGGCTCATCTAGTGAAGGTGAAGACAATGATATGCAAGATGATGTGAAGGGCCTGAATATAATTGTTTCTTGAAATGTGAGTGAAAAAAGACAGTCTTCTAAGTATTATTTTACATACTTCATGTTTTCTACTAGGCATAGAAAACTAAGTTATGACATTAAATATGATCATGGACATATGATCATGGCTCCTTTTTCATCACTGCAAGTTTATATATTCAAGTCGACAAAAGAAACTTTCTCTGGAGCGCCTCTTTGGGATTGGCAATGACCCTATCTCTGAGATTGTTTTATTGCACTAGTAAAACTTGATAGTAGTAATTGCAGTTCCAGAGGGTACCCAGACCACCTTTCCCAGAAAGAACTCTAAGCATTTTCATATGTGTTGTGTCATTACTTAACATAAATAAAACTATCAGGGTTGGGAGGCTCTGCCAGGCTAAATCCCTGGAGCAAGAGTTTTTAACCTGGGGTCCACGAACTTGGACGGAAAAAAGTTACATCTTCATTTTCACTAACCTGTTCTATTTCTAACTGAAATAGAACATTTCATCCAATTATGAGTGAAGGCATGAAACCAGAGTCACGGTTTAGCAGGAGTAGTATTAGCAACATTTGTGATTGTGTCACCAGTAGAAATCACAGGTATTTTCATCTCATTGCAGTTGTTGTAGACATCTTGAGATATTGCTTACATTATTTTGGGACCATATTTTCCCAATATTTTGGGCTGCTGTCCACTCTGTATGGACTGTGCAGCTGGCCAGTCTCCGCGTGCAGCTCTCCCTCCTGCTCAGACCTTCAAGAGCCCTTGCCTTTCATTCCCAAGGTGACCCTGATGCCGAAGTGGGCCTGCGTGTGTGTGCCCTCGCTCTCCAATTTCCTCGCCGAGTTTTAGCACTGCTCTACATCTTTTCCTAACCTTTCAGTTTACATTTTTATGTGTTGCACTGAAACATTCATCTCCCCTTAAAAATTCTACGTATACAGTCCAGGAGAGTGAAGAGTGTCTTAGAGAGGAAAAGTGGTTTCTGTGCTGTGGTATTTCAAAATGGAAAGAGCTGCTATGACTGATGATAAGCTACTTGCTTATAATAAATACCTGGGACCTTGCCTTGCTGGAGAGCTATTTATCACAGAAGGAATTCAGTGTGAGGTGGGTCCATTTGGAACCCCTTCAGAGGAGTGACTGGGTGGCTATTTAACCTTGGAGGCACAGACCCTGTCTGATGCCACAATTTTAGTCTCTATCCAAGAGCTTTAGGTGCATCACATGGAGATTCAGTTCGAAGTATATAATTCTTCATCTGTGTAATAAGCGTAGTGTTCTTATGAGTTTAGTTTGTGACTACCATTAAAATGCTGATTTGAAAATTCAGTTATTAAGTTTTTTAGGGGGAAGGGTGTGTCTCAGTGAGTGCAGAACTGTGTGTAACTAGTAACTGGTCTATGGTTACAGAGAAGTACCTTGTACAGCTATCTGGAGCTGTGGCTCGAGGCACGTGTCCAGCCATAATTATAAGCTTAGGTTAAACTGAGGGGACAAAGTCTGCAGACCCAGACCAAAGCAGTCCTCAAAAATCTGACACTCCCACAATATGGCACGTGACTTTCAGATCCAGAGATCCCTCCAGCTCACCTCCACCTTGGAGGGAACGCGCATACCTGTTGATGCTCATGTTACAGTGGTTTGCAGACAAAGAATTATTGGTGGAGGTGGCCAGGCGCGAAGAGCTCTCTTTTTCTCCCTGGGCCTTCTTGATCTCCCTGTAGTCGTCTTCGTTGTCACACTGCACAGGAATAAGCAAGAGTCAATCAGCTCTGGATTTCAAGGGGTCATCGTGAGTTCCCGGGCACCGACTTCCCTGAAGAGTGTCTTGAGCAGCTGTGCTCCTGGCCTAGGTTCCCAGTCAGCTCCTCAACGAACAAGGATGAAATCATCACTTTTACTAATGACAGCTATTGAGAGGAAAGGCACGATGCCATGATCAAAATTTGGGAGGGAATATCTGAATTACAAAAACTACTCTGCCATCAACAGGCCTAGGAATTAGCCCTTCAAAGCAGCCCTGTTTTGAATTCCCATTGTCGCTTGAGTCTCTCATCTTGGCATTTCTTGGAATCAGAGTAAGGTGTAGCAAGTGTGTATTTTCCAGGATTAATGCGGTAAGGGCAGTGGCAAGCTTGGACCTTTCTGCTTTACAATTCTTGCCTTTTGTGAATTGCAAGTAGAGGTTGTTACCTTTTGGTGCCTTAATCCTAGTTTTCAATTACTATCCCATGGCATCTTACAACCCTTAAAGCACATTTTTATAAAACAGTACTTTGGATTCTTGTTGCCACTACTGTGTTTAACTTTAGACGTGTATTAGGGTGCAACACAAATGCACTCAGAAAGTACTATTTTCCGTGAGATAGCAGGAACCCAGCATGGTATCTGCAGGGCTGTCTGCAGTGTTTTCCAGGAGACAACTGCCAGCACCAAAGACATAAAGAATCTGAACTTTCTAGCTGGGATTTTGTCACACAGTGTCTGCCACCAGGGGTCCCAGATGCTTACACTGTAAGAGTGCCCCTGTGGAGGGACCAAACCAAAGCTCCAAGTCCTTGGCTTCAGGGCCCTAGCAGGGTGAGACTTGGCACCTTTCATAGCGAGGTCTATGGGGTCCCACCTTCAGCACCCAGTACTAGGGTCTTAACGTCCAGGATACCAAGTAAAGAGTATTATAAAAATGTTCTTTTGCTTCTCTTGTGTCTGTGTTTAATGATGATTCATTAGTTTTATGAGCAGAGCCAGGTATCAGGCTTAGCATAAGTTAAGTTTGGTAAATTAAAATAAAAAGAGCCATAAAGAATACAACTATTTAAATACAGCATATCATGGGATTTATATATATGTCTTTCTGCACATCTCTTTATAGATATCTCTGTATGCCTAGATAGCTATACATATTCCCAGTCTATCTATATGTTTATCAATGTCTATCTCTGCATATTTCATATATATATATTTTTTTCCATCAGCCTATCCATTCATCCATCAATCACAGAGGTAACGTCTACACTCATCCCCAGATGACTGAGTGATTGAGTCCTTCATTCAACAAAAATTGAACACCAAAAAATAATCAGGAAGGCAGGGTGTCTAGAGGAAAACAGGAGGAAAGAGGGGTAGGGAAGAAATGGGCCAACATGTGTTACTAAGTTGTAATGTTTGAATATATTGCGTGAAGCTGACAACACCCCTGCACAGATGTCACCATTTTACAGAGAAACTGAAGTTCAGAGAAGGTAAGGTCACCAGATTAGGGTCACCCAGGAGGCCAGTGCTGACTATATAATTTTCTGGGTCCAGTGAAAAATGAAAATGCTGGGCCCCTTATTCAAAAAGCAGGAAAAGGCTGGGCACAGTGGCTCATGCCTATAATCCTAGCATTCTGGGAGGCCAAGGAGGGAGGATCCTTTGGAGTTCGAGACCAGCCTGAGCAAGAGCAAGACCCCATCTCTACAAAACACAGAAAAGTTTAGCTGGGCATGGTGGCATGTGCCTGTAGTCCCAGTTACTTGGGAGGCTGAGGCAGGAGGATGGCTTGTACCCAGGAGTTTGAGGTTGCAGTGAGCTATGATGATGTCACTGCACTCTAGCTAGGACGACAGAGCAAGACCCTGTCTCAAAAAAAAAAAAAGCAAAAGAGTGATGTTATGAAGTATTCAAATACCAAACATTTTCCTTTCTTTTGTAGTCTCTCCCTTGATCTGTCACGGTAGCGTTGGTGGTGTTTACAGTATCTGCTATTCCTGCTGTGCTCCTTTAGGCACAGGGATACCTGGGGGGTGAGCGCAGCCTCTCAAGGGCCGGGCCTGCCCTGAGACTGGGCTCATGTGCACGGCCCCCCAGCTCCGGCTTTCCCCCTCCTGCCAGTTGTGGGATCTACCTGTGGTGCCCGAGTCCAGGCAGGTGTTTCACCCTCCCACAGCCCACCCCGCTGACCCATGGTGAATGGGCGACCCCCAGGGGATTGCAATCTCCCCTCCAGAATGCCTCACTGCCTGGAAAGGGGTTGGGTAAGACCCTTCCTGTGCCTGCGCCTGGGCCCCTTCTGGGGATGAGGGCAGCAGTGGTTCCTGGACCGAGCCAGGGAGGGGAAGGCTGCACAGGACCAGGGGGCTGAAGAGCAGGCAGAACCTGTCCTGTGAAAATAGGCAGGAGGTGGGCCGCAGGTGAGTCAAAGCTCCACATGCCCCTGCACAAACCCCATCACTTACAAAATACAAATTCAGAGATAAAAGGAAGAATCTCAAGGTGGCAGCCACAAGCACTAAGCTCCAAGGGCCCTGTGTGACTGCGCACCAGTGCAGTCCCATGTGCCCGGCCACGGAAAGCTGGCCCCGAAGGAGGTAAATGGTAGAGATGGGATTTGAGGTCAGGTCAGTCTGGTGTCAAAATCCACACTCTCCACTACACGTGAGCACTGTCGGGGCAATGCGGATCTACGTAGGGGCCCATCGTGGGTTAATGGCCAATGCTGGGTGGAAACCCTGCTGGGGAATTTTTATAAAATTGCCTTTGCATCTGTATTAAGAGAAAAGGCAAATAGCTGCTTTTCGAAGATATCTCTTTTCATAAACTTTCTTGCAAGGGGTTCGAATTCTAGTTTATAGGGATAAGTTATTTAATGTTACCATGTGAAAAAACACATTCTTTGGTACTTCAGAATAAATTTCCCTGGTGGTGGGTATCCTTCAGGTCATGAAGATGACTGTCATCGAAAGGGGACTGGGTGTCTTCTCCATGCAAACTTCCAAAGTGAGGAATACGTTCATCTAGGCCAGGACAAGCCAACAAGCCTTTCTCCTCAGTCCCCTCTCAATCAAGGATTTGAGACAGCTGTAAAACCCACGTATCCAAGCTAACTTTTCTACTGACAGACCAGATTGCCCTTTGAAAACTAGAAAATATCACACAAACCTCAGGCTGACTTCTATGGCAGGGCTTTGAAGACAGACAGCCTGGTTCACTTCTGGCTCTGCCCCTTATGACCTACATAACCTCAGGCAAGTTGTTTCAGGCTCTCTGAGCCTCAGTTTCCTCACCTGTAAAATGGCCATGACAATAATATTTGCCTCATAAAGTTATAAGGACTAAATGATCTAATGCCTATAAAGTGCTTAGAACAGCATCCCTCACAGGGACACATATGATATGTGTTAACTGTTATTAATGACTTTGTCCTAAATTTGGAACCATCTAGGAGTATTGCATCCTTTGGTTTGTCACCTATTCTGTTTTTCTGTGGTCCAAATTACTTTTGAAGATACAGTAACAGGATGGGATAAAAATCCTGAAAATTGGCTTTAATTTATGATTAAGGTATTCCCTGCTCAAAAACCTTCCAAATTGGCTATGTGTTCAGTGTCTGCTGCCAGAGGCATCTCCAGCTCTCCCTGTGCTTGAGTTACCTTCTCAGTCTCCTGCCTCACCTGTTCCACCTGTTCGTCCCTTCTGCTGCCACTTCATCCCTGAGCCTCTACTTAGTCACGTGTCCCTCCTCTTCAGGGCCCTGTTCCCAGCCCTCTCCACCAGGAAGCCCTCCTTGATCAACACTACTGGAAGCAACAGCTGCTGGCTCTGACGCTGCAGGCGGGGGCCCAGCGTCAGGCACTTCTGTATTCATTTTCGCCCAGGCACAGCCTTGAACTCCATGAGGCCGCTGGCTTCTTAGGTCGATGAGTGATTCCACCATCAACATCAGCCCATCCCTCCCAGCAAAGAGGGGGGTCCACCCGTGTTTAGTTTTCTCACAGGCCCTACATCCAGCTTGCGTCTGCGCAGTTGATAAATACCTCCCGTATGACTATTTCGACATGCAGTGGGGCAGGGCTTAATTACCTATAACTGTAAAATAGGAATAATAATGGTACTTCTTCATCCGGCCGTTCTAAGGACTTCGCTGACTTAATATATGTCAAGTACTTACAACGGTATCTGGCGTATATAAAGTGCTACAGAATTGTTTGTAAGGTAAGGACAAAAAACTGCTGCCGCCTACAATGCAAACCAGCAGGCTACTTGTGCTCTAGCCCCTCGTCCACAAGCTAAAGGAAAGCCCCCTCCCTTCCACAGCCCCGGCCCCACTCAGCCCCAGGCCTACCTTGCGTTTCCTCTTGGATTTGGGCAAAGCCTTTTCGGGGGGCGTGTCTGAGGCGTGGCTGGGCGGTGCGCTCTCAGCGTCCTTGGCTGCAGGAGCGCTCAAGACCCCCGGCTCCTGGGGCAGATGTTCTGGGATCCTGGACAGGAGGGTCAGGTCAATTTTGACCCAGAGAGACCTGACCTCATCACTGTCCTTCAGAGGGGAGAGAAGTTCGTTCCGGCCAAAGGGGACCAGCGTGTAGAACTGCTCTTCCAGCTCCTTGGCAATGTCAGTGGTGGTCCTGGCGTTGATGGAACCTACGGGGGCCCGGGGGCCGCCGCCACTGCTGACGCTGTTGGCAGCCTCCTTCAGCCTCTGGTCACTCCCGGAGGAGGAGGAGGTGGCCACGGTCTGTGCTTTGGACAAAGGGTACTCTTCCTGCTCGGACTCCAGGTCGGAGTCCGAGGAGGAAGACGAAGATGATGACTCTGTCTCAATGAACTCCTTGGATTTGGGGACGATCCTGCTCAGTCCCCGCGTGCGGCGCTTCTCACAAGTCACGGAGGAGCGCAGCTCCTTGCGGTGGCTCGCTCTGCTGTTGCCGCAGGGCCTGGTTTTGGTGGGCTCTGGGGGGACCACTACGCTGGCTCCCAGCGCGTCCGCGGCCGCGGGCTCCTCGGGCCGGTGGCAGTTGGCACTGTCCCCGGCCGAGGTCCTCTCGGTGCGCCTGGTGGGCTTCTTGCCCGTCGACCTCCGGGCAGGCGCGGGCGCGCTCTCCACGGGCGCGCCGGGCACCGCGGGCGGCGCAGCTGCTGCTGCGGTCACGGCCACGGCCGCCGGCGGGGACTTCTGCTTCACACCTTTACTCCCAGGGGCCTTGTTCGCTGTCCTCGGCCTCTGCTCCTCCTTGCAGGTGCTCTTGATTTCCTTCTCTCTCAGGCTGGTTTGGCAAACGTCGGGAAGTTTCCCACAGTCCTGCACCTCGTCTTTCACAGGGGTGTAGTATTGATTGCTCTCTGGCCCGTGGCTTTCATTTTGGATCAGAATAGGAGGCTTGTGGGGATTAACTTTGTTCAGCCATTTATCCAGCTGCCACTTGTTAGAGGATGCCGGTTCAGCCTGAAAGCAGAAAACCAGTGACAACAAAACATCTTTTATTTCAGGCTCACTTAAAAAGAGCCTGTTTTATCTTGACTTACTCCTCTAAGTGTACGAGCAGAAAACGAATGGGCTGGGAGCAAAAGGAAAACGAAAGCATTAGATGCGTGTAGCAGCCCTCAACTGGCACTCACGATGTCTGCATGGTGCTGCTCTTACTGGCCGGAGGCACTTGAAGGTCAGTGCAGCATTTCTGAAGTCTATTTGGAAAAAATAAGGGGAAGCGCTGTGGCTCATTAACCCAATTCCAGCACTTTTGAGTGTTACACAGTGTATGTATTTTTACAATTACACACACACACACACACACACACACACACACACACACACTTGAAATTCCATGAAACTTAACTGGAGAATAGTTTGGAGGCCCTGAGTGTCAAAGCACTTGTTTTTTGTTAAGACTTAAAACTTTGGGGGAAATCTGAAGAGGGGGCTGAGCGGAACCTACGATCCTAAAGAATTAACATATAATTTACGTATGTAGTGAAGGCAAGTGGGGCACAGTTATTTAACAGCAGAAGCAATGACTTTGGCAAGATGGCTCCTTCAGCAGTATAGAACTCCTATTTCAAAGGGACTTGTTTGTGCCTATACACTTTGGCAGCCTGACTTGGTTGGTCCATCCTCAACCTGCTTCTATCCATGTTTCAGACCTGCAGGTGATGATAGAAACCTCTCCTGCAAGCAGTTTTGCTAATTTAGAGCAAATCATAGCACAGGTTTCAAACTCTGGCTCATAGATTGGCTCTTGGGGTGAGGGTGGAGAGAAGGTTGGTGAACACCCTGAAATGGAATGAGAAGTGTTGTGCAGATGCATTTTTTTTTTCTGGAAGAGGTCCATAGTTTTCCGTGGAGTCTCTAAGAATCCATGTCTCAAAAAAGCTTAAGAACCAATACTTTTATAGGAAGTGTTGATTCCTAATAAAAGCCCATTTATTCAGCATTATGCTTATTAAGAGAAAAGAGGTATATTGAGAAGTATCCAATTCTGGCCGGAGTATTTTCAATTTTTGACTTAAGCAAAATGTGGAAAATATTTTGGGTGATAAAGGTGATGTATTTTTCCTTCCCTATGGCTTCCCACACTCTGGATTCGTGGCATCCACTGTTTCAGGGGAGATTAGATATCAGCCTAGAATGAGAAGACACCACTTAGCTTTGTGTTTCAAACTTGATCAGCTCAAGTCTAGAACAAGGCAGGTTCCTTTGTGGAAGGAAAAAAAAAATAGTTTTTAACATAATAAATTCCAAAAGCTTCCCTCTCTGTATCAAGGTGTGTTTTTTAGCAGTGAGGGCTGTGTATTAAGAGCAGAACTCAGGGCTCTGGGCATTGTCACCAGCAGCAAGGATCTAAGAGGGGTGAGGAGGGGGCTGTCTGCTAGACACAGGAGCCCTGCCTGAGTCTGGAGGAGTCTGGACATAGCTCAGGAAGAGGGAAGCCTCTGATGGGACAGAGGGGGTGGGGTCCAAGAGGAATTGGCCACTCAGTGTGGGGATCAGGCAATCAGAGCTATGGCAGGGACCACTGACATCCTGCTGGTTGCCCCAAACCAGATGAGACCAACTACACTTCACGGCGACTAGCACAGGGTGTCCAGTGACTTGGAGAAACAGAAAATTTCACTGGAGGCCAGAACGAGGATGGAGACCCTTCCCCTCGGGCTGTGAGCATGGAGAAGCCCCTCCTGGAATGCAGGTGTGGGAAGGAAGACCCTTATGGCCCTGACAGGGAGTCTGGCCTTTGACTTGACATTCTGCCGTGTTTATTTTCGTGCCACCAACAGAACCAGGGCTCTAGAGCAAGATGCAAAAGAATAAAAAGATCTATCTTTTTTGCACCTACGAGTTCTGTAAATTCTGATCTTACTTTATTTTGGCTTCTCTGGAGAAAGGGAACGAAGGAAACCTACAGAGCACACCTGGGCCATGCTGCAATTGGAGATAGCAGCAGAGTGGGCCACAGAACAGTTTCTTGGCCGAGGGGATCCCTCACCTTCCCGGAGATTAGCTGAGAGTGTCTGGAAGCTGATTTAGTGGCAATAACCTCTGGCTTTTACTTTTGTCTCCTGCCCCCACTTCTCTCATGATGTGACTACTAGCAAGTCAGTGCCTCGTCCTGTGCCTCCACTTCCCTAGATAAATGGGACATAGTAGAGATGAGTGGACGCGGGAGGGGCCTCTTGCGGCAAGGGTGCACACTCCGGGAGAGGGCACCGACACTATGGCGGGGCACACCCCTCACACGGCTCCGCCACTGCGTTTCACTCTAGTTCTCCCTCACTGCCACCATCCAGAGCCTTCCAGAGCTCACGTCTCTTATGTGAGAGAACACGGGAGGTTGTTTGCAGTCAAAACACAGCTGCACACAGGCAGATTCACGCCGAAACTTCCTAGCGGGAGCATTAACAGTGAAGGGTGAATTTAATAAATTTAGTACCGGCCCCTTGCCTGGTGTGCTTTAGGGTCATTTTTTCTGCACTTCACAGCTGAAGAAATCAGTCTGAAGTACCATTTTCAGCACATCACTAAATCACACTCTTTCTCAAGGATCTGTAACAGCCTCCTATTGCCTCTCAGACAAAATCCAAATTCCTGAGGCTGGCATTCAAGAGCGTCCATTATTTTGCAATCATCTTTCATTGCCAGAATACCTACGATATAACTCCCACTTTACATATATTATCTAATTTAATCTTTACACATAAGAAATGTTATCACCCCCAACTCATAGATGAGACTCAGAGAGGTTAAGTGACAAGTCCAAAGCCGCACAGTTACCAGGCTCCACCAAGACTAAACCTATACTTATCTAGGTTTAAAGATCATGTTCTCTCCACTGCTACTTCACCTCACCTACCACTGCCCTTTGTCATAGCCTTATGAAAGGGGGATCTGATTCCTTTGACAAATGTTGGTCTTTAACCTAAAATGACAGAATTAGATCTGATTTTTGGAGAAAACACCAATAACTCTTCAAGCAATTCCCACTGCCCTCTGTTACACCCAATTGTATAACCTTTGATGTCTGTATTTGCTTCATGTGTATATTGTTTGTGTCTTCAACAAAGCCAGAGGCTTCTTTCAGGCCAGGGCCAGGTCTCTGTTCGTTTGTGTCCCTCACAGCATCCATCCCAGGTTAGTGGGACAGACTGCTATGACTCTGCTCCTAATAAGAACAACTCACAGCGAGCTGTCACTCAAAGCATATTATTTATTCCTCACAACAACCTCACAGATCAGGCAAGACAAGAATATTAGGCAGGGATGAGGCATTTGTGGCCAAGGAAGCTGAAAGGACAAAGAGTTTGGTGGCAATGAGGAGAGAAAATTCAGGGCTGCAGACGCTGGTCCACTGGCCTGAAGCTGGCTTTGGTCCACTTCCTGGGCTGTCTGCCCAGGGTTTCTGCCCAGGGATTTTGTTTGCTGGCTCGCTGCTTTGTGTTTCCAGCCATGACTCTCCTCTCTGATTGATCTTCCCTCTGATCCATGCACAAGCTCCCCACTATACCTGCTTCATCTAAATCTTCCTGGCACCCACTGCTATGGACCCAATAGGTGCCTATTGCACGAGATGATTGTTGAATCAGTGAGCAACTTGCATCCCACTTCTGCTGAATTTTAAGAATGATCTAGGGCAGCATTTGCCAAAATGTGCTTTTAGTTCATATATCCCATGAAGAAGAATTTCCACAGTCAGATCAACTTAGGAAATGCCACAGTGGAAAGCACATAGCAATATTAAGGGCTGGGTGATGATGCCTGAGGAAAAGCAATGGGGTAAAAACTACCTTATCCCAGAACGCCTCAAAATTAGGGACCAGACTCTTATTCTTCACTTAATACTTATAACTTGGGCGACACTGATGGATGGAGCTCTGTGTATTGGCGTAAATGTGCTAGCTGAGTGGAAAGGCAGCTTCCCCTGCAAAGCTCTGGCATAAGAGGATGTACCATGCCAGGAAAGCAGATTAGACTCCAGTGAAAAAATTTAGGTTGGGAACAACAACACAAACATCAGGCCATAGAGAGGGCTCTTCCATGTGAGCTTATGAACATGATGTTACCATCCTATGGCAGTTCATGTGAAATGAACTGGCTCTCAACACGCACAGCCATAACTGCTCATATGGAATTCAGCTGGCGTGTGCAGGGGGGGAACACAGGTGCCTTGGGACGTCAGGCATGTCTCCTTCTACTCCCACAGCAGGAAGCTACAGCAGGGAAGCAAGGGCCAGAAACGTTTTGCTTCAAAGCAGCACAAACCGGTTTGAGCAGTGGAATGTGAGGTGTGTGGTTATAAAGAGACCACTTGTCATGTGGGGTTCAGAAAAAGGAGTCTCACTGCTCTCTCCAAGGTGATCTGGGCCAGCTTGGTCACAGTGGGACAGCGAGGCTGAAGAGGAAGAGCAGGATGATGCTACTTCCCGTCTTTGCCATTTTCAGTCTGCAAACTCATTTTCTTTCAAAAGGGTGTCTATATTAACCTTGGGAAAAATGTTAAAAGAACCTAACTTTTATTCCAACGAATACATTCCTTTCTAGCAGAAAGAAATAGTGTGCAGTGTGGCTAACATATCACTTGCCACTTCTGCATTCCCTCTGCGTAGAGAAGCAAGCAATTCAAAACCGTATGTGGCCTCAGGTGACTTAAACTTTTAGGACCCCTTCAGGAGACTCATGCTCCCTCCTCTCCCTAGCGAGGGGCCTCTGATAGCTGCCGGAAGAAATGACAAGGGCCTCCTTTCATTACCTAGGAGTTGAAGGCTTTGTAATTATCTCAGTGACATTTAGAAAGAATTTGCTTAGAGCACTTTATAACTGTACTGCTCTTAGGCGAGGTTTCAGCCAACTCAGGAGCTCTAAGAGTCACATTTCAGCACGAAAATAAGACTGAATGTTCAAGAATTTAACCTGCAAAGTCACAAAGAAAAGCCCGCACAGTTCATCCTCACAGACACTAACGTTATTTTTAATCCACCACCTCCCCCTGACTTGCACTGTCCCTGGGACCCAGTAATTTCTTATAACTAAATATTCTGGAGTTTCTCAACAAATTATGGCATAAAGCAGGCTTTAAAGAAGCCGCTTAACTCCTCTACTTTTTTGTTTAAGTAGTGTATTTTCTCATTTGGAATTATCCCCATTAGAATGTTAGCGCTATGAAGACGGGCATTTTCTGTCTCGGAATTGCTGTATTCCGGAGCCAAGCACTGTGTCCGTGGCTGGTGCTCAACAAATATTTGTTGAACGGACGTGAAATGAGTGAATGAATAATGACTGAGCGAAATGATGAAGAAGGAATATTAATTGAGTTTCTAGGAAAAGCCAGGGTCATATCGACCTGTGGTTTTGACAGGTGAATGTTGCTAAGGCCCTTCCCCTAAGACAGAGAGACAGACAGAGACAAGAAGCTCACGGGAAGGAGAGCGGAGGCTGGAGACGCGCAGCTTATTCAGGATGAATGGGCAGTCATTCCTCTAGGGCAGAAAGCTGCTGGGGAGGAAGTGCGGATGTGGGGAAACAAAACTTGCCCAATTTCTCAGTGCTCCTGCAAAAAGCCTCAGCCTCCTGAGAGGAGAAAGAAGGGAAAAAAAACCTGAGGGAATTTCAGAGTCCCTCTATGAACTTGAGCTGGAAACCTGACTGCTTTCAGGTGTGATCATGTCTACGGCACAGGTACAAAAGCTGGAGATGAGGTGCTGCTCCAGCCCGTCAAGGTGCCCCCCTCTCACTGCCATGGTTTGTAGAAGTGGGTTTGGGTCTATTTCAGAACCTACTTAGAAGTTTGGCCCCCAAAATAGTACAGAGGGTTCTAAGAAAAAAACCCCTATAATCATGGTAATCCCAAATGTTTATACACTCGAGAAGAAATTCTATTTTATTCCTTCTTTAGAAATCAAAGGTTACTCTTGGAGCTCCATGGCCTTGAGAAGTTTTAGCCTTCTTCATGCTCTGAATTACTATTTAATTTCCCCCTTTCCACTTTAAAGTAGAAATAGCAATGGTTTTTATTGGTACCTTATAATGTTTTTATATGAGGCACCGACATCTTCCACAGAGATACTCATTATAGCTATAAAAGGTTTCATCATTATTTGTAGGTCGATGCTAATATTTCTTTATATATTTTCACAAAGAAAACACAGTTAAGAAGGTTTTATTAATATTTATAGCCTTTGTTCTTCTGATCCGTGACAAACAGCAAAAAGGTAAGATTCTGACCATGTCTAATCCATAAGAGCCCATTCCCTGTGATTTACGGGTGGTCACACTTCCCAGGCGGAGAACTTCCCCATCTAGTCATTGCCTTGGCTGACCCCGGGGGAGACCCGATCTGTAGATTATTCCCCACCAGTGATGCTTGCTGCATACTTGGTAATTCTGGGAGTCAAGATAGAGATCTGGGGGCAATGGAAGTTGATGCTTCTGTACTTCAAAGGCAGCTATGTAATCAGGACACTGTGAGGAGGGGACAGAGTGAGGAAAATGGGGAGCCTGAAGCCCGACAGGCTCCTCCTGTCTAGCACGGGCTGGGGGTCCACGGGAGGGAGGGGAGGCGGCTGTGGGAGAGCCAGGGTTCCAGGAGTCACTACACTCACAGGACAGGAGTTGGGCAGAGGAGGGCCCGAGTCAGCGTAGTGCTTACCTCGGGGCTGGAGTAGTGGGGGGCCTTGCCGCCCTCACTCTCGCTGGAACTGCTCTCCGTCTCCGAGTCGGATCCTGAGCTGCTCTCTGAGTCACTGGAGGAGCTGCTGCTGCCGCTGCTGCTGCCGCTGCTGCTGCCCTTGCTGGAAGGCACCGAGGCTCTGCAATTGGGCTGCTGGACCACCGTGCTGCCAGCCCACGAGGCCCCCCGGGAAGGAGAGGGAAGAAAAGCCAAGTGAGCGAACAGGAAAACACCACCACGCTGTCACACATTCAAAGGGAAGAGGAGGCACACACAGCCTACACATCTGTCAACAATGACCTGGAACTCAAAGAGCAATCGTCAAGGTCAAAGGCATCTTAATGGTTAAAACAAATTATATACAGAAATAAAATTGGGAATAAAAGTTGGTGCCCCTTGGTAGTTGGGCACTGGTTATTTATGTGGCCATTTCAGAAGGGAAGGTGGTGTAATATCTGAATGGCTGTTTCTATTTTGCTGCTGTTCTGGAAATGGTTTTTCAAATGCATCCCCAAATCCAATCATCTTCAAAAATGCAAGGAAATCCAAAAAGCTTGAAATATTTTGCAAAGTGTGAAAATGACTGCTTTATTTTTGCCCCAGAGGAAAATGCAGCGTGATGGCAGGGACCAGGAAGACGGCTGTCAGGAAGGGCAAGGCGTTCTGCTCTGCGCTTTCATGGCCTGCTGGAAGGTTCCAGAGACTGTGGGACTGTCAAAGTTAAAGTCTTGCTTCCCCCCTTCTCCCACCCACGGAGTTGAGTGCAGCAGTGGTTACGGGAGCTGGCACGTTGTATCAACAGGAACCTTCCTTTGAGCCCTTTACTGAAGAACCGAGGATCCCCACTGACACGTTTTTATATATTCCAGACTTTCACATTCAATCCAGTGCAGTAGCTCATAGGAGCAGCATTTCAAATTTACACTTGATGTTTATATCTGTGCTAAAATTTGCCAGAAAGCCATTACATGCTCAGAGATAACAAGAAAAGTCAATTGATACTTTCCAATGGTAATGAATTAACCACAAAAATTCAAATAGCACACATCCACCCAAAAAGTGTTTGAGCCAAAAAGAAAATTTCGGTACTCACATAAGATTCAACATCTTCAAAGTCCTTTATTGACTGAATTGAAACACACCTGAGTGTGTTCCTTTGAGCTCTAGCTCTAAACCCAGAAAATGCTGGTCACCTTCTTTTTATGTTGAGTCAGCAAATATCTGTTTGCCATTTCCAACTGTGACCACTGCCTCAACAGGACTGAACATTAGTGAAGGCCAAGGGCCGGGGAGCTCGTTAGGCTTTATGATCTCAGGTGCAAAGCAGCCCGGACGAGGTAAAGGACCCTTTTCACCCATCCCTTAAATCTCTGACAAATGCTTTGCCCAAGGACAGACTCTCATAAATCCAGAGGCTGGGGTGGGAGGGATGGAGGTATGCTTATTGGAGCCTTGCTTCTATAAAAACCACAAGACAAGAAACTATCTTGCAGGAAACCAGAAAATAAAAGCACCTTTTTGAACAGCAGGGTTAGGGGAAACCAGAGCTTAAACACAACCTTCCCTAGTGGTTTTCATTTCTTCCACTAATGTCACGGTCCATACCGACTGTCTGACAAAATTCTTCAACATCAGGCAACATTTGCACGTTCATGCCTTGCCTGAGCTGCAGCGATTTCTTTTCCAGCCTATCGTCTGTGTTTGGTACCGAGTGAGGAATCCTGGACCTTGAGACAGGGTAGGGGAACGGACGGTTAGCGCTCAAGGGGCTGTAGTATTTTCTTCCCTTATGAATAGAAATCCATCTTTCCTGTTGGCTGAATCATTAAAAAAAAGAAAAGAAAGAGACTATTGGATTCTGACCAAACATGAACATCTGGGATCCATGTTAATAGTTTGTCCGCAGGCCCCCAAAACACTGGGGGAAAAACACAAAAAAACAAAAAAAGCAAAACAACACATGGCCCGAAGACTCCCTTTTCTTTTGACGGTGGGATATAAATACGGAGGCAAGAGGTGTGCCTCCCTGCCACACTCTGGAATGACATTTGCCAAAGATTGAGAAATTCAGATGAATAAAGAGCATTGTGGATTGGTTTTTATGATGTTCAATGGCTTTAATTACTGATCGGTACGTTCTACCTGCTTTAATTCAAACAACAAAGAACGTGTGATGCTGGTTCTGTGTGTCCCTGGGCTTTGTGTGTACCACAGAGGCAGCGATGTGTGTGGAAGTCCTTGTGGCTGGCACCACAAACTGTCTGTCTTTTGAAAAGCAGCACTTTAATTTCTGGGAAAATGTCCATTAAACAGTTACCATACTGTCTTCCTTTAACGACTGCCATCCTAGAGTAACGAGGTACACTAGCCCGCGGAGACAGAATTTCCAATCTGAATTAGATTGGTAGAAAAGCTTTATACTTTTATGTTTTCTTTCCTTAAATTAGGAAATTTGCTCAAAATGACAGTTTTACTGGCATAACTATCCTTTGTTTTTAAAACAGCTGAGAGAGCCAAGAATTTAGGTTTTTCTTCATGCTTTGCTTATAAGGGTTGTGAAGCTCATGATGTCAGGATCGAATATATTCATGTTTCAGTGGTCTGGGTAGAGAGTGTGTGTCTGGAAACAATCCATGTCAGGGATGGGGCAGGCTTGCCTGGAAGGACTCTGGTGGCTCCAGTTGTGGGATCAAGATAACTCTCCCCACCTCCATGAAGGCAGCTCCACTAACTAGTCCTTGTCTGGGTCCTTGGGGACAACTGATCATTCTGGCCTCAGTATAGTGACTGCTCTTGCCTGGGTGCACGCAGCTGCTTCCCCTCTGCTTGGGCAGCTGCATCAGTGAGGGGCAGGATCAAGATGAGGAAGCCAGGGACAGTCATCCCTGCAGATGAGTTACTAAGGAAATGGTGGGCTCAGTGAAGCCAGGAAGGCTCTCTGGAGTCACAGAATCCAAAAGATGAAAAAAGACATACCAGAAAGACCTTATATATTTTTAAACACACACTGAAAATCTTGGTGTGCCAAGTGGTTGTTGTGTTTACATATCAAAGATATTTAAAAAAATTAACTTAGTGGAATTTTTCCTGAAATGATAACACAGACTAGTTGACACGATGACACAGCCTTAAACAATTTTTAAGATACTACCCACCAAGTTCTAGGATCGTATGCCATTTCATGAACATGGTGGCGTTGACAGCAGCCATGAAACATTACTGAGATCATAGAATAAAAGTCTTTGTGTCACCAAAGCTCAGCCCAGTGCCTGGCACTTAATAGGCATTCACATGTGATTACTGAATGAAAAGATAAATGCAAAAACAATCCATCACTGGGTTAATGAGTTTTTAAAAAAGAGACTTAGCTTTTCAAAATGGTTATAATCTCTCTTTTCAAATTAAAAAAATATTTAAGGGGACTTCAGCACCTCTCATGCTCTTCCAATTTTAACACTTTTCCCCTTTGGAGAATGTTTAACTCTACTCTCAATTTCATCTGCTATAATTTAAGCACAGTTCTCTCTTGGATGGGTTATTTACTTTTTGTATTTTGATTTCATGAAATGTGTTGCTGGTTTTGTGAGTGGTCAGAACCCCTTTGAGAGAAGTCCAGATTTCTTCTAAATTATCTGCTTGCTGCATCCCTTCCTTTGGCTGCAATGACACTGTCCTTTTGGATTTGGCCAGGGCCAAGTCTGAATACAGATCTTAAAAGACAAGACCTGGAATTGAAATGACAAATCCTGGCTCTCACAGTCTAGGGTGCTGCTGCCTGCCAAGCATATTGTGGAATCTGGATATATATCCAAAGTTGTCCACGAGCTTTTAACTGACAAGTAATTTGGAGACAGGCTCTCTGCCTGGTTGGCACTGTTGTGGATAGCTGTGATGCCCACCAAGTGCCATGCCTGCTGTGGGTGCTCCATTGGTATTGACTGAATGATAATATTTAGCTCTTTCTCACTCAACACTCTGTAAAAACTCAACAAATGCTTGATTTATGAACCATAATCAGTATCTTGGCAACAGTATCCCTTTATTGATAGCATTTTTGTTGATATTAATTGATCTAAAACCATAACCGCATGATAAGTGAAGATGGAAAAAGCTGGTTTGAGGTTTCCTGTTGCTAGAATTATATGACAAAACCCAAAACTGATAGGACTGCTGGTTCTATATGGAAATGTTTTGATTTGCCCTGCAGTAACTCCAGGAACAATTTCTCTTTAAAACATGGCCTTTGAAGCTTTTAATGGTCTTGGTTTTCTGCCAACTCAGAATGTCTTCATTTGCCCTTCATTCCTGAAGGATATTTTCACTAGTTATAGAATTCTGGGTTGGCGGTTCTTTTTTTTTTTTTTTTCTTCAGCACTTGAAAAACGATGTGCCACTTCCTTTGGCCTCCATGGTTTCTGAATCCAGTGGGTCGAATTGTTTTTACTGTTTTCCCTCTACATGTAAGATGTTGTTTATCTCTCACTGCTTTCAGGATTTTTTTTCGTTGTCTTTCGTTTTCAGAAGTTTGACTATGATGTATTTTGGCATTGATTTCTTTGGGTTTATTTTGTTTGGGATTCATTCACCTTCTTGAAATCTATAGGTTTGTGTCTTTTGTCAAATTTGGCAAAGTTTTGGCCATTATTGCTTTGAATACTTTCTGAATAATTTTCCAGCCCCATATTCTTTCTCCTCTCCTGGAACTTTGATGATACAAATGTTAGATCTTTTGTTATAGTCCTACAGGTCCTTGAGGCTCTGTCCTCCCCCTCACCCAGCCCCAGTCTATTTTTTCTCTGTTGTTCCTATTGTGCAATTCCTATTGTTCTATCTTCAAGTTCACTGATTCTTTCCTCTGCTCTCTTCATTCTGTGGAGCTCATCCACTGAGTTTTTAGAATTTTAGTTAATTTTTCAGTTCTAAAATTTCCATTTGGTTCTTCTTTATGCCTTCTTTATTATTATTATTATTTTTATGAGACTCTGTTTTTTCATTTGTCTCATGCTTGTTCTTTTTTGCTTATTGAAGCATTTTATGATGGCTGCTTTAAAATTCTTGTCAGAGGATTATAACATCTGTGTCATCTCAGTATGAGCATCTGCTGATTGTCTTTTCTCATTCCAGTTGAGATTTTCCAGGTTCTTGGTATGAGGAGTGATTTCCTAT